ATAGAAGTAGTACTAATTAGCATATTGAAAATATTCAAAAATCATTCTTCTTAGTGTGTTATTAGAATCAAAAGTTACTTAAAACATTTCAATTAACATAATGTGATATGTTTGTATAAGTTCAAAAGGATACAAGTGACATTGCTTGCCATTGTTGTCAACTAATGGGAACTACTTTCTATGCACTATCGGCTTATAGGTGTGTCTTGCGGACCGAGATCTGATTGGTCACATGCTATTACTACATGTAAATCGATGTGAACGTTCTCGTCATCATGATTAGGGTTTATTCCCGAGGTTTATCAAATCGGCTGAGTGCAATGGCCGAGGATGCGATATGGAAATATTTTAAAATTACGTTTCTTGATAGAGAATGTCAAATGTGACATTAGCCTCTGTATGGTTAAGCTTACATCTATTGTTCTTGTGGGGCCTCTTCAGTGTTTTATAATTTGAGCGGTTTATTTAGTGTCATTAAGGACAAAAAGAAAAATAACTTAGAATATTGAAAACAACATTTACAAAAAACATTTACATGTAAGTCATGATTGTTGAGTTAATAGAAGATCAATTTTTGCCGCATAAATCAACAGCATATGGGTCGAATCATGGGGAAGGGGAGGGGTTGGTTACCTCCTACAGTGTAGGCTATGTAGGACCATGGGCTTTCAACTAGATTCATTTCTGTTTAATATTTTGTTAGTATGAGCAGTTTGGAGAAACATTAGAATATGGGGATGATGGTGTGCTACTAGGCCCCAGCATAAACCTTTACCTGGGAACGTTTACCATGTTCAAGATAACATTCAGTGATTTCGAATTCTGGACACTTTTAAGTGTTTGAATCAAAGGAGGATTGGCTCCCAGGATCGATCCACGGGTGACCAACAGTGTCAAGATGTAGGGACAGAAAAAATCATCAATTGTTCGTGTAGAAATGTCAAAGTCCCATAAAGTTACGTTTTTAAGGCAAAGTAACGTGTTTTGAAAATGCCTACATCAAAAATCAGCCATTCTACGTGAAGAAAAGTTAAACTCTAATAAAGTTACGTTTTTAAGGCAAAGTAACGTGTTTTGAAAATGCTTACATAAAAATTCATCAATCGTTCGTGTAGAAATGTCAAAGTCCAATAAATTTACGTTTTAAGACAAAGTAACGTGTTTTGAAAATACCTACATAAAAATTCATCCAATCTCCGTGAAGAAAGGTTCAACTCCAATAAAATTACGTTTTTAAGGCAAAGTAACGTGTTTTGAAAATGCTTACATAAAAATTCATCCATTCTTCGCAGAAAAAGTTCAAGTCCAATAAAGTTACGTTTTTAAGGCAAAGTAACGTGTTTTGAAAATGCTTACATAAAAATTCATCAATCGTTCGTGTAGAAATGTCAAAGTCCCATAAAGTTCCGTTTTTAAGGCAAAGTAACGTGTTTTGAAAATACCTACATCAAAAATCAGCCATTTTACGTGGAGAAAAGTTAAACTCTAATAAAGTTACGTTTTTAAGGCAACGTAACGTGTTTTGTAAATGCTTACATAAAAATTCATCCATTCTTCGCAGAAAAAGTTCAAGTACAATAAAGTTACGTTTTTAAGGCAAAGTAACGTGTTTTGAAAATGGCTAGATAAAAATTCATCAATCGTTCGTGTAGAAATGTCAAAGTCCAATAAATTTACGTTTTTAAGACAAAGTAACGTGTTTTGAAAATACCTACATAAAAATTCATCCAATCTCCGTGAAGAAAAGTTCAACTCCAATAAAGTTACGTTTTTAAGGCAAAGTAACGCGTTTTGAAAATACCTACCTAACAAAGTCATTCATTCTTCTTGAAGAAAAGTTAAGATCCAATATAGTTACGTTTTTAAAGCAAAGTAACGTGTTTTAAAATGCCCACATAGAAATAATCCATTCTTCGTGGAGAACCGTTTAAGTCCAATAAATTTACGTTTTTAAGGCAAAGTAACGTGTTTTGAAAATGGCTACATAAGAATCATCCATTGCAGTACATTAAATTTTGTGTAGAAAAGTTAAAGACCAGTAAAGTAACGTTTTAAAGGCAAAGTAACGAATTCTAAAAATGCAAACATATAAAAGTAGATTGTTCTTCACGAAAAGAAGTTCAAAGAAGTGCTTTTTCAAATGGGTTCTCTGACCATTTTTCAACAAGTTGTTCTCCAATAAATTGTTTCTTGTAGAAGAGACGAAAAAGCGTTACTTTTAAAATGCCAATATTTTCTGTCCCTATATCATGAAATACAACTTCCAAAAAAAGATTCCAAAAATATTTTTCAAAGTTCTCGTTTTTGTGTGCAATGAATTACCCCTTCATTTTATAAATTCAAAATGTAATTTGGTGATTTTTTTCGCACTTCAAATAGATATAAATATCACTTTCAATTTTTTTAATTTAAGGGGGATGACAGAAAATTTAACTAATTCAAGGTGCCTTTTAGACAAAAAAAAACTTTTTATGGAAAGGGGGCGAGAAAAGTTGTGGCCACTCTCTCTAGGAAATTTGACTAATCCAAGATACTACATTATGTTTGTGATTTATAGACACTAGATAGACACTTTATAGACAATATAAATGAAACTGCGAGAAAACAGAAACTTTTTTTCATTTTTTGGGAGGGAGTGCCAGAGGGGATCCGGAGCAAGGGTGCTCGGATCGGGGCACTAGCACTTTTAAAGTGTCTGAGCATATCAGATTTTTTCCAATTGGTTTTTAGGATACTCGAGAAAAGTTGACAAGATGCTTTTTGGTAATTTCTGGTCACTTGTATGAGTCAGTTAAAAAGGAAATTAGAAAAGAGTATGAATCTTTAGAATCAATCTAAAGAAACTATGAATCTATTGCGATTGTTTTCTTTTTTTGTTTTTGGGAGCTAGGGGGTAGAGGGAGAGGGGTGCCTAATATCTGGTTCTTTCTAGGAACTTCTAAGAAATGTGTTTTGGTAAATAAATGCTTTATCTTTTGGGGTGGGGTGGAGCGCCAGAAGTTCCTATGATTTCAAAATGTCATTTGGTGATTTCTGGCCACTTTTAAAGTGTTGAATATTTCCAATAATATTTTTCAAAGGACGATTCTCGGTTTGGAGAACAGCCTCCTGGGCTAAAAAATTTTTCATGAAAAATATAGAAATATTACCCAAATTAAACTATGAATATTCAAAAGAGGACATTTAAATCTACAAGATGTAAAAATAACAAATTGGTCTGAAGCAGGGATAATGCTCAAATAGACCGACTCAATAAAATACAAGTCTCGATTTGGGGAAAGAAGTTCATCAGTGTACTGCGCTAATATTTTTTTGCGAAAAATCTAGAAATATTACCCAAATTAAATTATGACTATTCAAAAGAAGACATTCAAATCTATATTATGTAAAAAAAATCAAATTTGTCTGAAGCAGGGATAATGCTCATTTAGATTGATGAACTTCGTTCTCCAAACCGAGAATCGTCCTTTGATCATTTGATTGTCATATTGATTGGTCATATTCAGATATTATTATTTAGTTTAGTTTTTTATGGTTTCTTTATTTTACTTTACAAAATTAGCATGACTGTATGACAGGGCCGAGGCTGAATTCAACATATACAAAACGACAAAGAATGACTATCAACGAGAAATGTGTACTAATTATAAATCAATACATACATGCACAGAAAAATGTTGTAAAGTGCTTCAAAACTAAAGAATTGCATGTATTGTTAACTTCATTTCTACCACATAGTAAAATGTTTTGCTTCTGTTATTGTAAAGAGCATCCTGTAAAGAAAAAAGTGTGTTTTTTAACATCACTCTTCTTCTTCCAGTTCAAGAAAACAGTAAGCATTACTTCTGGGGTAGTCCTAGACTATGAGGTTAGGCCCATCTAATTTATCTGTGTTTAACACTCTTCTTCTTCCAGTTCAAGAAAACTGTAAGCATTGCTTCTGGGATAATCCTAGATATGAGGTTAGACTCCCTATTTCCAATGTCAAAGAAGTTAGTTGTTAGTTGTACAGATATAAAATATGGAAAAATTTTTGTAATAGATAAAGAAAATGATGTTAATTAATCAAGATGGTCACATGTTACCTATTTCAAAGTCTACCTGTAACTGATCTGTAAGTTATAGGATAGCTTACATATCAGATCAGATAGACTATGAAATAGGTAAGTTACTGTACATGTAGAATAATATTCAAAGCAATGCATTGATTTGTTCTTTACAAAAGTTTTCTCAGCTTTTAGGCCAATATAAAGATGGAAGTAATAGCTTACAGGTTGACTACTCTGCCATCTTTTAATAACAGTTAGCTCAATTACCACATACCTATGTATTTCAACTGGTTGCTCACATAGTTTATTTTTCGGAATGTTGAACGAAGTTCCTTTTCAACTATGTGTTTTATACTTTTTGGTATTTCTCCCTTTGGCACTTGTACTTACATGTTTCCCGAGTTTGACTAAAAATGTCGAAAACTACTCAGAATATGAACATTTTTGTGACAATATATTCAAAGGTTGGAAATGGATTTTCAACTAAGTGCACTACTTTTCAAATAGATTTGGTACCTAATTAATTCAATTTTGAGAAAAACCACAATCCAAATGTGTCAATTGAGATCTCCTAAAGGGATATTACACCATCCACCTAAATAGGAAACAAACAGAAAGCAATGAACAGAAATAGATGCATCATTTACATTTGACTTTTTGTATTTCATATGTAAAAATTCACTCTTGATATTGTACATTTTACTGTACATATAGATTGTTCAAAAACAAAGTTGGTCCATCATAGTAAACCAGACATTCTCCTTGCTTCTCTTGTCTAAAGCATGGGCATACAAGGCATGAGGCAGAAATATTACGTTATAATATTAATTCAGATGATTTCAAATGAAGTCTTGTTACAGTATTTTACCTTGCTATCAATAAATTTTGCCTCACCTATTCAATTTTGCCTCACTTATTTAATTTTGACACACAAATTTAATCACCAATTTAATTTTGCTCCATTTATTCGATTTTTCCTCACTGATTTGAAGGCACACTATACTTAATTTAGAAGAAAAATGAAAAAAAAAATCATTGAAACATGTTACTCGCACACTTGCTCTTATATGACACAAAGTTTGATTTGCTTTAATATTGGACCAAGAAAAAAATAACTCACAAAGAAAAAAGCATTTGAAGTTCAGAGATCATTAGACAATTATGCACATGTTAACAAAGTGCATGTTTGAAATTATTATTGATTTAAAAGATGGCGACACTTCTATAAAAATGAATGTATCATGTAATACAAACAACTTCGCCATCTTTCAATGACACTGATAAAAACTTGATATATAAAGCTTGACAGATCAAAAATATTTTTTGATAATTTATTGTAAGCTTTGATGTCGTCCATTTGAGCTGTTGTTGGTGTCAAATGAAAGATAAGGTTCTTATCAATAAATTGGACATACTTTGAAATTTAAGTAATTTAAATTTAAATGTAAGTCTTTGTTTTGTACAAACATGTTGAAAATTCCCAAAGTGGGCCTTTAATTTTGCCTCAAGCATTTAATTTTGTCTCACCTATTTAATCTTACCTCACTTATTTAATTTTGCCTCACCAATTCGATTTTGCCTCACTAGTTTAATTTTGCCTCACCAATTAAATGTTGAGTCTTAAGATTAATTACCCAATCTGAGAGATCTGAAAATCTTATAAAATTGAGGTATTTTATATTAATAGACCCATGTATTCTGAGAAGATGTCACTTTTCCCGAAGGTACAGCATATTGGTTGGTTTGGTTTACTTTGCAGTTTCTTTACATTAGCTCTACCTGCACAAAATATAGAACATGTAGGGTGATGTATCTCTTACTATTATGGGGCTGCTTAGAACCAGTCAGATCCACATTACAGCTACAGTGCTTCAGCAAAATCAATTGTAAACCCTGGTACAGCCATTACTATCTCAGGAAATGATCACACATTAATAGAGGACAGTCTGTAAATTCAACTACATAGTCGTAGTAGAGTGTCGTCTCATAAGGCTTTTCCCTAGAGCCCCCTGGGAAACCTAGATCATCCAGTGTTTTGTGTTCTGGGAGCATAGCCTCCTCTGAACGATCTTTATCCGTAAACAAGGCAAGTTTTGACGAAGCCACTTGAACATTGTCTCTGATGATCTCCAACAGTCCATGCACGGTGACTGAGGTGAGACTTTACTCTTAAAGTGTCCTGGGTGACTCTTTGCATTCTCAAATGTTGCTAGTTTAAAACTTACATCAAGGTACCTGAAATAACAAAACATATTATAAAAATGGCATTTTATTATTTTGTTACATTTCAAATCAATTCATTTCCTGAATATCTGGCGCATAGTATTACAGACATGCTACATAAGGCCTAGTAGCAATAAATTAGATAAGTATTTTACCTCGGGATTTTACCATACCAGTAAACATGACAGAATTTTCTAGTCTTGTCATATCATAACAAGGCATTAACATGACAAAATGTCACCACCTAAAACAATTTGGTCAATTTAAAGCAAGTTGGAAAATACCTTTTGCCCTTGAGAAGGTCATTGAAGGTCAAATCTAAAGTCAGATTTGAACTTCTGAGAACTTGTAAAGTCAAATTTGAACTTCTGAAAAGATGTAGATGATTTTGAAAAAAAAATTTGGTCAATTTGAAGCAAGTTGAAAACAGACCTTTTTGACCTTTTTTGACCTTGAGAAGGTCATTGAAGGTCAAATGTCAAATCTAAAGTCATATTTGAATTTCTGAGAACATGTAGATGATTTTGAAAAAAAAATTTAGTCAATTTGAAGCAAGTTGAAAAAAGACCTTTTTGACCTTTTTTGACTTTGAGAAGGTCATTGAAGGTCAAATCTAAAGTCAGATTTGAATTTCTGAGAACATGTAGATGATTTTGAAAAAAAAATTTAGTCAATTTGAAGCAAGTTGAAAAAAGACCTTTTTGACCTTTTTTGACTTTGAGAAGGTCATTGAAGGTCAAATGTCAAATCTTAAGTCAAATCTAAAGTCAGATTTGAATTTCTGAGAACACGTAGATGATTTTGAAAATTTTTTTTAGTCAATTTGAAGCAAGTTGAAAACAGACCTTTTTGACCTTTTTTGACCTTGAGAAGGTCAAATGTCAAATCTTAAAGACTCACCCCCGCTATAAAAGGCCTGAATCAGTTGAAAAAACATGGCTGAATTCAAAATTTAGACAAAATCTGAGCTCACTGACATTTTCCTCATTTTCTCTAGTTATAGAAACCCTATCACTCTATAAATTGTCACAGTTATCTATGAATATAGGAGGCATTGAAACATGTTAAATCCAGTCCAAGATATTATTTACTTTTGTAATTATTACTGTTTAATTTCTGATATTGGAACAACTGAGAAGGAGGAGCCTATTTTGAAATGAGCCAATCACAACAGGCGATCCGTGCATATTTAGAGGTCAACAAAAGCACATGGCCTAAAATATCTGCAGTAAATGAAGTATTATTGATATTAACTTACCCTGATCCTGGCTGAGGCATTTCAAGTGATGTGATCTTTATATATCCAACAGTGATAGTTAATCCAATTACATGCACATAGTCATGTTGTATTTATATGTTATTAATCTTGTAAATAATCTATGGAATGTGGTAAAGTATAAGTATATTGTATAATTAAAATATAGAATCCATCCATTTGTTCCAAATATTGTTTTTGTAATTAGTTGTGTAGTCCTTCAAAACTTTTCTTTGTTTGAAGGGATTCAGTGGATCATCAATTTCAGTAATGCTGGAATAATCACGGTCTACATTTTCATTCCAGTGGACGACAGCTAGATTAGTTCTTATTTCGAATTGTTGCTTTTTAAAGACAACACGCTTATCATGGAAAATATTCAACGTATTGTTGAAGCTCTCAACATAAAATGTGTCCATAGCTTCTGTATAATGTTCAGCGTGTCTATAAATTTCTGTTTTTTTAATTGATGATAATAATAATTGTTCTGCAATGGGTGAGGTGATTCTAATTTTCTCTAATCTGTAGTTGATATTTGTTTTACAGCTTGATATGGCATCGCAATTTAAATGGTTGTCCTTATAATGGTTTGGAATTTGCCCTAGTTTCATCCTGATTGTATTCGGATTCTTATCACAGTTTCGAATAACTTGCTGTGCTCTTTTTCGTGCCCCATCGGGTTTGTCTATGAGTTCCGAGTGCCACGTCTCGCCATCTTTATATTTGGGCCCCTTACAAACTTTGTTTATTTCACGACTGAATGACTTTGCTGCATGCCATGTGTCATTCTGGTTTAAAGTTTCCTTGCCACCAGGTCCTCTGTGCTCACGGATTATTTTATTGATTGTACCGTTGTTGTCATGGGCATGAATATTTATTTTAACTTGTTCAGCATCAAAAAATTCATACATCCGTTTAGTACCCAATGCCTCATGCTTTTGAGATGACATTTCATCTTCCTTTGAAACATGTTCAGAACGTATAACTCTGTGTTTGTTGTGGCCCAAACATATCACATCACAATCAAACGCATTTCTTCTACCACCATGTCGAGCATCCGTCATGATATTGATACCATTTGCCTCGACATCAGGATACGTCCCCTTTTCTTCATCTAAGGCAGCTTTGCAAGATTCTTTCATCGCTTCACTGATATGAGAAGATAATTCATTTGTATAAGTCTTCTCTTTTCTCCAACCTAGATGGCCCATACCGACTGCTTTAACAACATTCTCATATTGTGAAGGCAGTAGCCCACTTGTCAACTGTCCAAAGAAAAAACGAAGATTGACGTAAGCCTCGCTATTTGGTAAGTGGGGTGAGGAAGGCCATCTTACATAATGTTCGCTGACCTGGCATTTAAATGCAATTGTTGCTGCATGTCCATGTAATACTACTTCTTGCAACTGAAGTTCCGCTTGACATATTCTGCTATGATGTTCAACTAAACTTACAAGTTTTTTGACAGTTTTTTCAGTTGTAAAAAATATTGGTTGCTCAGTTTCATGTCTCTCTAGTGGTGTGTACCAAGACTCTGGCTCAAGATTGCCTTCAGATGATGCTGAAGTATGTGTGTTGCTACTTGCAGATGGCATATTGTGTGTTAGCCAATAGTCTAATGCTATTTCTATGGCATCTACATTGCCATTCAGGTGTAAAAACTTCTTTATTTTACTCGTTTTTCCAAGCAAAGTTTCCTTCTTCTCTTGACCTCCTGCACATTCAATTGAGAATCTTGAGGAACGCCCATGCTTTTCTCTATATTCCTTCTTTTTCTTAGCTTTACTTGCCATCATACAGTTTAGGATTGCTACAATGTGTGTCTTGCCTAGTAACTGTTAGTAAGATATGTGAAAAGGCACAAATGTAACAGTTGAAAACACATGGCAATTTAGGCAAAGGGTGTACCTTAGGGATGTGACAGTGTGGGAAATATATAACCATAATTATATTTATTTTAGTTATTAAGCTAGGGAGTGCAAAAATGATAAGCCATATTTTATTGTTGCATTATAACCACATTTCTTTTTTGTTCTTACTCAAATTCTAGCCATAATTTAATGATGAAAGTTCAGAAAAATAAAAAATCCAGGTAACTGTTTGCAACTTATGCCATGAGGCACATAAGTGGTACAGCCCCAATTAAAAATCTCAGAGGTCTAGGATTTGCCTGCTTTCACCACTTAGCTATAAAATTGAAAAATTGGGAAATTCAAGAGATTTTCTACATGCCTCATTGACAAAGTCAGGGAGTCATGTTTATTAATTATCAATCATGGTCACATCAATAGAAACCTAGATTTGGACCTTACAAGAGTTCATGTGGATGTACCATATCATGAACACAGGGGTGAACAAATTACACTCTTCCACATATGAAGATTATATGTTAGATTTCTGGTGACATTCAACATTTAATGTACCTTCCCGAGTGAGTATATCTGAGATTCCAGATGATGAATCCACCAGAGAGTATTTATTATTAAAACCTCCAAGAATTGGAGAAAGCCTTGGTTTTCCCATAGTAATATACATTTATCAAGCTGCATTTCACTGGTCTTTCAGATTCTAAAAACTAAATCTATGATCCAAGAAACAGTGTCATTTTATGTTTGAAGTTCAAGCAGTGAAATGGAAAGCAGAACTTACAGCTTGAAGATAAATGTAACTGAGGAACAGAGGTTAGTGATAGAATCCCTATATGATCACTATGACTGGAACTTTGACCCCATTGAGGACAGCTACAAGAACAGTAGGTTGAATAATACAGAAAAAACAGTAAATGTGAATAGAAGAAAAGCAGCAAAGAGGAAAACATCAGCTAGTATCTCTTCAGAAACAGTAGCAATTTGTTCTTTAGAAACAGTAGCCACTGATTCTTCAACAGAAGACGAAAGTCAAGCAAGTCAGTCAATCAGCATTTTGACTGGTATGATACCACAACATGTATCTACAGAGCCTCCGCAGCCTCCTAACAATGATTCCCCTAGTTCTAATGAAGAGTCACATGATTGTCCGCATTGTTTCTGGAACCCATGTGTTGTCAATGAAGCCAAGTATGAGCCATTTTGGAGGACAACAAATGCAACTCCATCATTGTCAAACATTATAACAAGGAGAAAACTGTACAAGGAATTTTGGAGAATGATAAACAATCTAGGACTATGGAGACATCCTAACTATTTAACCAAAAAGGCAGCTTCCAAAAGTAGTGACAGAAGTATAATATACCATAAAAGGGAGATAATGCCCACATGTGTTGTCACACAAGTGAGAGAATGGTTCCCGAATCCACCTGGCATTGAATATAAAGGACATGTTTACCAGTGAATGGATATAAGTTCAGCTAGACTTACACAATGAAATATTCTTATTCGGATTAATTAAATATAATAGTATACACATTAACTATAGTAACTACTATTTGGATTATATGCTCTTATAATATTGTTTAGTGGATTATTAAATGAGAAACCAATGCATATATATGTGAGTACAAAATTTTACTGCTATGTTATTGTTTACTTTTTTGGTGGCCATTTTTAAAAATCTTGTTTTGAAGGCTGTGATTGGCTCAATCGGTGTGAATTTCTATTGGTTAATGAAAACTACTTTTTGATTGGATAACAGGACCCAGGGTCTTGGTTCTGTGTCTTTAAGTCAGATTTTAATTTCTGAGAACACGTAGATGATTTTGAAAAAAAAATTTAGTCAATTTGAAGCAAGTTGAAAACAGACCTTTTTGACCTTTTTTGACCTTGAGAAGGTCATTGAAGGTCAAATGTCAAATCTAAAGTCAGATTTGAAGGTCAAATGTCAAATCTATAGTCAAATCTAAAGTCAGATTTGAATTTCTGAGAACATGTAGATGATTTTGAAAAAAGATTTAGTCAATGTGAAGCAAGTTGAAAAAAGACCTTTTTGACCTTGAGAAGGTCATTGAAGGTCAAATGTCAAATCTAAAGTCAGATTTGAACTTCTGAGAACATGTAGATGATTTAGAAAAAAATTGAAGTCAGTCTAAACAGTATTTGTTAAGTTATAGGAAGTTGTAAGAAATTGTTACAGACGCCGGACGCCAACCTCCAACCACCAACCGCCAACCACCAACCGCCAACCACCAACCGCCGTCGCAAAAAACGGAGACCATAACAATATGTCACCACTTTTGGTGGTGACATAATATCTTAATCATGAATTCATTCTTAATTATTTGTATATTTATTCAAATATCATCAATTCGGGAGAATTCAAAAATTTCCGTACAATCCTTTTAATGTTAATCAAAATATGACCTACTTAGGATAGGGGTCTTTATAAGGATGCCAGAGCGCCATCTTACAGCAGACACAGTGCTCGAACTGACGTTGTGTTGTGACTAGGAATCCATCCTCTCTGTTTCCATTGGGAAAATGACTATCATCCCCTTCTCTGAATATAGAACATATAAGCCTAGTAGTTTATAATATCATACAAAATGCAGAGAAAATATTGTATTCTTTTTGTCATTACACAGATTAGCGACATTCATCTTTGGTTGTATTAATCCCTAAACAAATAAAAACATTTTTTCAGACATGTTTTAGCCCTTACAGTTTGAAAATGAAGTCAAAATGAAGTAATAATATACAGTAAAGACATTTTCACTGAGACATGTTTTACTATACTTCCTTTGGCCTAAATTTGCATCCTTCATTAAAAGGGCTTCATTCCTCAATTCAATGGAAAAAAGTGAAGCACCCTTTGGTCAAGAATGTAAATTTGCCTCGCATGTTAATTTTAAATCCTGACTATGTCTCTGTCCTCTAAAAGAATTCAAAATGATGTTTACCTGACAAAGGTGAGGCCAGCATTGAACTCTCTGTAGTCAATAGCATTATTTGAGTCCTTATCCAACAGCTTACACAGCAGATGCAACTCTATAGCATTCAATGGAGCATTGATGTCAAACATGCCTGAAATAATCAACATAATAGCATTATTGGAGTCCTTATCCAACAGCTTACACAGCAGATGCAACTCTATAGCATTCAGTGGATCATTGATGTCAAACATGCCTGAAATAATCAATATAATAGCATTATTGGAGTCCTTATCCAACAGCTTACACAGCAGATGCAACTCTATAGCATTCAATGGAGCATTGATGTCAAACATGCCTGAAATAATCAACATAATAGCATTATTGGAGTCCTTATCCAACAGCTTACACAGCAGATGCAACTCTATAGCATTCAATGGAGCATTGATGTCAAACATGCCTGAAATAATCAACATAATAGCATTATTGGAGTCCTTATCCAACAGCTTACACAGCAGATGCAACTCTATAGCATTCAATGGAGCATTGATGTCAAACATGCCTGAAATAATCAACATAATAGCATTATTGGAGTCCTTATCCAACAGCTTACACAGCAGATGCAACTCTATAGCATTCAGTGGATCATTGATGTCAAACATGCCTGAAATAATCAATATAATAGCATTATTGGAGTCCTTATCCAACAGCTTACACAGCAGATGCAACTCTATAGCATTCAATGGAGCATTGATGTCAAACATGCCTGAAATAATCAATATAATAGCATTATTGGAGTCCTTATCCAACAGCTTACACAGCAGATGCAACTCTATAGCATTCAATGGAGCATTGATGTCAAACATGCCTGAAATAATCAACATAATAGCATTATTGGAGTCCTTATCCAACAGCTTACACAGCAGATGCAACTCTATAGCATTCAATGGAGCATTGATGTCAAACATGCCTGAAATAATCAACATAATAGCATTATTGGAGTCCTTATCCAACAGCTTACACAGCAGATGCAACTCTATAGCATTCAATGGAGCATTGATGTCAAACATGCCTGAAATAATCAACATAATAGCATTATTGGAGTCCTTATCCAACAGCTTACACAGCAGATGCAACTCTATAGCATTCAGTGGAGTATTGATGTCTAACATGCCTGAAATAATCAATATAATAGCATTATTGGAGTCCTTATCCAACAGCTTACACAGCAGATGCAACTCTATAGCATTCAGTGGATCATTGATGTCAAACATGCCTGAAATAATCAACATAATAGCATTATTGGAGTCCTTATCCAACAGCTTACACAGCAGATGCAACTCTATAGCATTCAGTGGATCATTGATGTCAAACATGCCTGAAATAATCAACATAATAGCATTATTGGAGTCCTTATCCAACAGCTTACACAGCAGATGCAACTCTATAGCATTCAATGGAGCATTGATGTCAAACATGCCTGAAATAATCAACATAATAGCATTATTGGAGTCCTTATCCAACAGCTTACACAGCAGATGCAACTCTATAGCATTCAATGGAGCATTGATGTCAAACATGCCTGAAATAATCAACATAATAGCATTATTGGAGTCCTTATCCAACAGCTTACACAGCAGATGCAACTCTATAGCATTCAAAGGAGCATTGATGTCAAACATGCCTGAAATAATCAACATAATAGCATTATTGGAGTCCTTATCCAACAGCTTACACAGCAGATGCAACTCTATAGCATTCAGTGGAGCATTGATGTCAAACATGCCTGAAATAATCAACATAAAAGCATTATTGGAGTCCTTATCCAACAGCTTACACAGCAGATGCAACTCTATAGCATTCAATGGAGCATTGATGTCAAACATGCCTGAAATAATCAACATAATAGCATTATTGGAGTCCTTATCCAACAGCTTACACAGCAGATGCAACTCTATAGCATTCAGTGGAGCATTGATGTCAAACATGCCTGAAATAATCAACATAAAAGCGCTTAGAAGAGCATAGCATGCAGGCCTGTAGCCAGGGAGGGGGGGGGGGGTTTGCAGAGTTTGAAACCCACTTGGCAAATCCTGGCTACGGGCCTGGCATGGTTAGAGTACAGTATATGAAAGTAATTTCAGAAAGAAAAATTTATTTACTTATAAGGTACCTCAATCTGGCTTTTTTCCTCAAATCATACTCTATAAAATGTGAGATATTTTCAAAAGTTTGAAATTTTCCTCCGAGTAATTTACACCCAGGTATATTTACACAAGAAATTCAATTGATGCATGTGTTCTCAAACTTAAAATTGCAACATCCTTACCTGACTTGAACTCATCATATGAGAGAAATCCATCTCCATCAGAATCAAATCTGCGGAAAAGTTGAATTGCTTTGGTACCATTTTTGACCACCCAGCGGTCAACGGTGTCAACAAACTGCATATATTTGTCACCTGATGTCCTCAGCACTTCAGCTGCTTTCTCTAACCTTGCCTACAGAAACAATGCAATTAAATGTAAATTATAAGCCATAAATATATGCCATGGCCAGTAGACTAGTGTGTGGGTGTACATAATTGGGTACAGAGGTAAAGGTACAGAATGTAGGTAATAAGTAAAAAGTGAAAAAAATATTTTTTGGTATAGATATGGAAAAAGAGGTCTGGAAAAATATTGTATATGAGACATGAGTTTCAAAGACCCTCCCTTACAACCCCTAACATTTGTATCCTCACCGCTTCTTTTTCCCCTTTTGTCATTTTCTTCTTCTTTTTCTTTGGTTTTTTCTTTGTATCTGTTGCTCCCCCCTCCAACACTGAGGTGGGGTCCAGAATGTTACCTGCTGCATCTAGGGTCACATCTCCAGATGCCTTCTCACTGAAGAAAAAGAAAGCTTTACATTGACTGCCTTGAAGCTGCACCGGCTATAGTCTTTCAGCACTGTCACAGATAACAGGGGGGGGGGGGGTAGGCGGCTGATGACTAAAGACAAATGGTGTAATACCAGAGTGTTGTGAGAGTCTTAGTATAAAAGGATTTACCAAAAACAAGATAACTCTGGTAGGCATGCCCAATGGTGATATGATCCCACAAGAATGGCATGCACGTGGCACTTTGATTGAAGTAGTCTACCGGCTGTACATTGTACTCCTGGAGTTCTAGAGCCAATCTTCAAATCAAGAATTACAACTGAAGATGATCTAATTTACATGTAATGTACTTTATATATTTGACTCTAAATCCAGACAAATCAATATTTGTCTAGATCTACATGTACATGTACATGTATTGTATGCAGATATTAGGCCTAGATCTTAGTTTGTACATCTGCTGATCTAGATATCTAGATCTAGGTCTGAAGAAGAATATTCAAATACTAAATGTAAAGAGCTATTTAGTATTTACCTCTTAGTTTTTCCTTTCTTAACTAAAGGCATGTTATACAATTAAAGAGTTTAGATGTGTGATAAGTCAGAACATAATACCTATGTACATATGCTTATTAATCAACAAGAAATGTAAAAATAAATCTGTAAATTTCAAATCTTTAGTTTGTTTACATCCGCCATTTTGGTTGCATGTCACGTGATTTGTACGCCTTCTGGACGAAACGAAGAAACTAACTCCCGGGATTCGTGTAAATTGAATTATTTGGCTTGAATTAGCGGATGTCGTGTTTTGTATTTTCTTTTCTTGCGTAGCTATGATATAAAAGTAGGCTTAAATTTAAATTGTTGAGGCCAATTTGCGTTATAGGGAACGGATTAATCATAAATCTAGTCATCATTCAATATATATAATAAACTATAAAGTAAAGGTCTGGTTAGCGGCATGAGTTTTGAAGAAAAGTCGGGATCGAGAAAGAACAGGAAAAACGATACTAACTCAAATGTTTGATACTGGTGCTACAGTAAGCCCAACGCTCAAAGATGAAATGGAACAGACACCTCGAGTCAATGCAGCTCGGCAATGTTTCATCAACACACTCCCACAGCAAAAAAAGTGAATCAAATCCCCGAATCCTGAAGGCAGGATTCAAGCAGGATTCATATGCACATATGAATCCTGTATGAATCCTGCCTCCAGGATTCGTACAGGATTCGTTGTTTAAGTAGTTTACAAATGACTCCTGTAGCCAGGATTCGTGCAGGATTCATATGGAAGGTACATGTAGTTTACAAATGAATCCAACCTTCAGGATTCGTTCAGGATTCATATGGAAGGTAGTTTACAAATGAATCCAACCTTCAGGATTCGTGCAGGATTCATATGGAAGGTAGTTTACAAATGAATCCAACCTTCAGGATTCGTGCAGGATTCATATGGAAGGTAGTTTAGGCTTACAATAATCATGATGAATTCCATTTTTTATTAAATTATCAACATTGGGATGTGTATATTCTCCAATTTTGAAAACCCATGTACGCGCGAAATATAGGAAGTTGCCCACCCTTCTCTTGAAACATGTTAAAGTTAAATTAGATGGCGTAATATGACGGTCCGTTTCGCAGTCACCAAGGTGCAAGTGAAAAATGCACTCTACGTGTCAACATTTTGCCGTTTGCCCTGCTTCAAAACCAGGGCATAAATTATAAAAACGAGAAAATAAAATGAACATTTCCAAATTTTTCAATTGATTTCCTTGATTTGGCACGAGAATCTTCTGAGCATACAGTGTAGACTAAACAGGCCATTTTGTGAAGTAAAAAGGCTGAATTATTCTCTGAGACATATTACACTCTCAATTAAATATGATACAAACCGTAATTTGGGTAAATACTGATATTAGAAAAAATAATTCACATAGAAAACAGCATTTTAAGTTCACAGATTCATAGCGTCGCATACCCAATTTTCATGAATTGTATATTTTTAAATAACTATTGATTTAAAAGATGGCGTATGGTTGACAATTCTAATTCTGGTGCAAACAACTTCGCCATCTTTTATTCAGTTTATTGGTCTCTTGAACATGTAATGTACATCGAGATATAAGTCCAATAAAGCAAAAAATAAAAATAAAACATTCATCTACATGCATGGCAAAACAATACTTACAATCTAATTTTAACAATCAATAGGTACCAAATAGCATAAAATGATTTCACGTCAGTTTTGTTTAACAACTGTTAAAATGCACGTTTAAAATCAACAAAACATGCAAACAACGGCTTTTTTATTGCTTTCATGGACTTAATAATACAGTTAAGAACAAATATGTGGTCAGTTGTTCGCCGCTCTTTACAAAATCCTATTTGACTTTTGCATAAAATGTTATTCTCTGATAGCCATTGTGCTAATCTTAAATTCAAAATTGAAGTAAATACTTTACCCAATAAGCTTGTTAAAGTAATCCCTCTATAGTTTTGAGGATCGCTCTCATCACCCTTCTTGTAAAGAGAAACTATATCGCCGGATGACCATATAAGAGGATAATATGTTGATTTTAGAATGAGATTGAAAAGCTTAGACATGGGTTTAATCAGAGTACTGCCGCTATATTTGAGCATTTCATTTGAGATTGTATCATTTGCCCCTGATTTTTTGCTTTTCAAGTCTCTCAAAGTTTTGGATATTTCATATTATTACCATTGCTTAATTAAAACTTGACATTATATGAAAATTGACAGATCGAAAATAATTCATTGTAAACTCTGATGTGGTCCGTTTGAGTTATTTTTGGTGTCTAATGAAAGATCAAGTACTTATAAATCCTTTGGAAATAAAGGTAAGAGTTCATTGGGTCAACGGCAAGACTTCATTTTGCCAAAGAATGCTGAAAATAGGCACAGAGTCCCTTTAAAGATGAATAAATAGATGGCAATAGTAGTTTTGGTTTGGCTGGAATACTGTAATTTTATATTGGGAAGCTGACAAAAGATACTGTACTGTTGGATAGTCAATGTTGAACTACATACGCACGCACTTGAATGACATTAATTGCTGTGATTTAATTTATTTTCAAGAGTTATTTTTCAAAACGGTCATATTCTATTGTCGTTTGTACTTTCTGCAACCAAACCATAGTAAATTTAAAAACAAAGAAAAGTTGTATAATTCAAAATGATTATATTTTTGATTTTAAAGCGTTCTTACAGTTCCCTTCAAAAGTTTGGCAACGCCCATCTTGGCCACGTACTTTAAGCCCCGCGACATAAAACGTACGTAATGATTGAGAAAAGTAAACAAACGTGAACAGTTACTAACAAATTGGGAGACGGGTGCCAAACTTTCAGAGGAGAATGTACAAATAATTTAGTGGCACCATATCATTGTGGAATCCACAGTCTCTATTCTCTATTATCCCTTAGAATAGCAAGCTTTACATGTACAATAGATAGAGAGAGACTCTCTCTGATACTAAATCAAAATGGCACTACATTAATATACTAATATTACGCTATCGATGAACTTTGCTAAATACACGAACATCTTTTTTGATATCAAATCATGGATATATAAGTTAGAATAAATCATAAACATTGCGCGACATTTTCTTCACATTGGCACATATAGTTATACTAATTTTGGAGTCTAACTCCTACTGAAAGAATATATCATATACGTGTGATTTCTGGAAAATACCATAAATGATGGTTTTCGATTTAGTTGATACGACAACTGTGTGATGGATTTCTCAGGAGGACACTATATTAATATATGTTTCTCAGGATATAAGATTTGACTAGACTTAGGGTGATGAAGAAAGAACAGTGCTTAGACACAACCTTTGGTTCGGTATCATTTGTCTTTCAAAAGTCAGTAGTAGAGAACCACAGAGGGCGCCGCAATACGATTTGACAGAATCACTAAAAAAGCTCATCAACCAAAAGTATCTACTTTTTGCCCAGGAAGGTTACGCTAATAGCACAATTATGTGACACAGCTTAGACAAACACTGAATGTAAAAATAAAAAAAAACTTATAAGGTAACACGATATTCTTTCACCCGTAAAGAATACGAGTCATTTCTTAAATCGTCTAAACTTTGCACTCTTTTATAACCAAGTTTGTCATACACGTGAACGCACGCATCATCTATGATGCTAGCGATGTCTTGTGGAATGGTGTGTCGCCACCTGTATGACGTCTCCCTTGCATTGTGTCGTCTCGTCCCAAATTTGCCATCTTGCATTTCGTGATTCTTTGTTAGCCACTCCTTCACGTTATCATGAAACGAAATGTTAACAAACCTGTAAATTTCATTTGCATGCGATAAAGGGTCTTCAGCCAAATCTTCGTATCTCAAAGGAAAAAACGTTGTCTTATATTTTTTCGATATTTCATCCCTGAGTTCAATATCCGTGAGCATCTTCGCACATAGTTCACGAGCTTCTCTTTCAATTAAAGTAGCATTAATGACACCATAGTTAGTGAACGTTTTCCAACGTGACATCAGAATCCCCCGGGGATCTCTTACAAGATGGATTATTTTCAACTGCGGGTGATGTCGTAATAAGCTCTTCGTGACACTCATGCGGAGCAATATTGTTTTTACAGTTATAATACTAGATTTCATGCAATTGTTTGCGAGGCAGTTTGAAGGTTTCCAAGTCCTGGGACCATGTATGAAGCAATTACGATATACGTCTGTGAGGCTTCCCTTCATCATCCAGAAATTGTGGAACATGGCACTTTTTGACAATCGGTGAATATTACAGGCGAATACGCTGTTGATGATATCTTGAATTTCTGGACAGGAATACTGAAGTTTACCGACAACTCTGTAATAAAATGAAATAGGCAATTGCAACTTACAAACGTAAATACATTCAAAATGTTGTATTTAATTTCATCAATATGGAAATCAAATTTGAAAAATAAAATGGCATGGGCCACATTAATCTAGGCATACTTTCATTTTTTCTCATCTTAGATTTTATGTACTGGTCTGTAGAAAGTTTAATGAAACTTCTAAATCTCGCAATGCTATGTGGGCACGCCAAATGCCATCGTCAATGCACTTTTATTCCTCACAAAATTATAAATTCCATTAATCATAATTCAATATAATACATTTTTTAATATTAACGAATTTCAGGTATGACGAAGGAAGACCCTTATTATTCCAAGGTAATTAGCAAATTGGTACAAAATATGGTTTATAGCTTAGGCGATATAACGCCATATACATGTATTATATTCTTGCCACGTTTTCCTCATTCTGATACTCATAGCATCTCTCTCTGTTGCATCGCAGAAGGATAGTAATCACCCTTGGTATACGCAGCTAACGAAAATTGACCGGTACGGGTCAAAAGCTGGACCGGTACGGGTTAACGGTTTTATTTGAATTTAAAATAGCCATAACTTGCTCAATATTGAGTTCCTCGTGTCTAATTTGAAATATATGATGCCTCCCGATGCTTTTAAGTACCCCAATTTTTTACAGATTTTTAAACGGACCAAAACTCTCTAAATGCGCATTTATGCTCTTTTCTCTCGAGAACGACTGTCTCATTTTCACGATAACTTTTATTTAGTACTTCTAACATATAAGATCTATTTTTCCCCATCAAGGTATGATGTAAATGACATGCTATTTACATCTTGTAAGTTTCAATGACGCGCGTTTGATTTTATAAAAAATGCCAAACTTTGTGACAAAGAATTTCATCCTGCTTGCAGCGAGAAGTTATGGCTGTTTTAAATTCAAATAAAACCGTTAAGCCGTACCGGTCCAGCTTTTGACCCGTACCGGTCAATTTTCGTTAGCTGCGTATACCAAGGGTGGTAATGGAGAGGGCGTGGGCGTGGCTTACCACGATGCGTTTTCCTGGAGATTTAAACCATCTAACTGGTCTTATCATCGATGTATAATACTATTTAGACAATTGTATTGTTATGATTGTCATTTTGCGGCACTGATAATTGCCATGTGACCCGGATCAATAAATAAAGCAATCGTCTTTTTCGTTCGTTCAAACAACATGATCGTGCGCATGCAAATAAAAATATTTCCAAATGAAAATTGTGTAATTCAGTATCTTGGCAGAATAAGTGAAATGTTTTCCCGTCCAGGCCCGTAGCCGGGGGTGGGGGTCGCGGGGTTCGGGCGAACCCCCCCCCCTGGCCAAAAATTCTTTCAAAATCATGCAGTTGTTCACCATTTTGAGCAATTCTCAAGTGATTTCAGCCATATTTGGGCCAAAATTGTCAAATGTGAACCACCTGGAAATTTTTGAAAACTGACCCCCTCCCCGGGCAAATCCTGACTAAGGGCCTGGGTTTGGTCAACGTTAGTTCATGTCAAATGTAAAGAAGACTCGACCTCTCTAGAGTACATTCAGTGCCAAACCAACAGAACCAGTGATAATTGGAAAACTGAGAAAAGGTGAAACCATGTATCACCATTTTGTCACCATGGGAATACCATGGTGTCACTACGGATGACATCTGGGATGCGCTTTATTAGATGCAATTTTCATGTAAGGTTGACAACTTAAATAATGTACACGGATATATCATATGTGTGCTTGTCACCTAGCTTGGTGCATCTCCTTTATATTCACTCCCATAATCATTTCATGTTAATGATAACTAAATATTGCACCTGCGACCTTATCCATCAAACTCTCGGATCTCCAGTAGACAGGTAGAGGAAATCATTGCAGGGTAGCGATGTAGGTATGTTAGTGTATTAAGCAGATCAAGAGTCAATTTTAAAAACCGAATCAAGCAGTACAGTCAATCATGATAGTCAGTTTAAAGTCAATTATGATAGCCAAGTAAGATAGCCTATCACGATAATCAAACAGTTTGGTCATGATAGTCAATCATGATAGTCAAGCAGTATAGTCAACCATGATACTCGAGCAACATAGGCTGTTGTGACAGTTAAATAAATGTCAGTCGTGCTAGTCAGGCAATATATAGTCAATCATGATAGTCAATCAGTTAAGAGTAAATTATGATATAGCCAAGTAAGATAGCCTATCACGATAATCAAACATTTTGGTCATGATAGTCAATCGTGATAGTCAAGCAGTATAGTCAATCATGATACTCAAGCAACATAGGCTGTTGTGACAGTTAAATAAATGTCAGTCGTGCTAGTCAGGCAATATATAGTCAATCATGATAGTCAATCAGTTTAGAGTCAATTATAATATTATGATAGCTAAGCAAGATAGCCTACCAAGATTATCAAACAGTTTGGTCAATCATGATAGTCAAAATGATGATAAACTCAGCATAATAGTCTTTGTTAGTCAACTACTATCATAGTTTAAAGCACGAAAGTCATGATTCGTCAGTTGAGCAAGAGTCGGGTGTTTCATGAATTTGAAACACAACAGTGAATATAAAAATGAACTTTAACTTACGCAAGGTTATTCTGATTGCTCAAAATATTGCCCGTCACCTGAGTAAACATTGGAATGTCTATGGTTATTAGGGGTTCGAAAGAGTAGAACACATCAGGGTGTTGGTTGAACAGCTCTGAAGAGAAGGTGGATCCACTCCGAGCATAAGTGAGCAGTAGAACTTTCTTCACGTCGGAACCATCACACTGTTCCTTCAGACTACCAGGCTTCACGGCGATGTCTTGGCAGACTGCAGGGAAAGAACATATATATTTTTATCGTTACCAGTACCCTGCGTGCAGAGTCTAGTTAAACGAAGCTCTCTATTAAGAAGTGAAGTCAAACGAATGCAAAGGGTACGTTACCAGGGAAATACTTCTTAAACAAAATAGAAGAGATAAATTTTGATGTCATGATTTTTTATGATTTTTTCTCATCATTCCATTCCATGTCATGCCTGATACTCCATTGTCCAAAAGCTGCAACAGTTGTTATATAGAGGTTATTTAATGGGAGGTTTTTGATACATGGTATATCTGAGGGAAATGCAATATATCTACCCGAGGGACCGCAGGGACCGAGGATTGATATATTGTATTGACCGAGGGATATACCCTGGTCCCTGTATCAAATATCGAGCATTTATTAACTGATTTATTCCATACTTAGTAGATTATGAGGAATATATTATGTGATATAATATATCACCCGCTCACGTCAGATATCAATTATATCCCCGCATGTTATTTACCTATAACACTATTAAGTATGGAATAAATTGTATATATTATATATATTATTGAATGTTATATATATAGGGGTTATGCACTGGGAGGTTTTGGATACAGGGAATATCCCGAGGGATATACAATATATCTTCCCTTGGTCCCTTCGGTCCCTCGGGAAGATATATTGTATATCCCTCGGGATATTCCCTGTATCCAAACCGAACGTGCATAACTGTTGTATTCCATACCTGATGAGGTTTGAAATAATAAGTATGTGTCCCATATGCTCTGGTGTGTTTACTTGCAAAATATGTTATCATTTTCCTTTGTTTTCAATTTTTTCAAAAATGAAAAAAAAAAATTTTTCACATTTTTCCCAAATTTTTTGTTCAAATTTTTTTCACACTTTTTTCCATAATTTTTTTTCAAAATTTTTTTACAACATTTTTTTCAACATTTAATAACATAATTTTTTTCCACAATTTTTTTTCAAATTCTCAAATTTAATTTTCAATTTTTTTTTCCCGAATGTATTTTTAAAAGATTTTTTCAAATTTTTTTGAGCATGAGCATGAGAATACGATTTATAAGTTCCAGAGCTCCGTTGGAGCGGGACATACGAAAAATATTTGCCCGGATATGGAATATATTCCCGGTTGATATGTCCCTGAAACCTCATCAGGTATGGAATACTATTGTGTATCTCATACTTAAGTGGGTTTGGGGTAGATATCACTCGGGAATATATATCATATCTGAGGAGCGGGCAGGATATATTGTATATGTCCCGCTCCAGGCCAAATGCGGGCAGATATAATATATCCATCCCGCTCCCGGGAATTGTTCAAAAGTTTAAAAAAGTTTAAAAAAATTAAAAAAAGTATGAGATACACCAGTTATGCACGGTCGGTTTGGATACATGGAATATCCCTTGGGATATACAATACATCTTCCCTCGGTCCCTTCGGTCCCTCGGGAAGATATATTGTATATCCCTCGGGATATTCCCTGTATCCAAAACCTCCCAGTGCATAACCCCTATATATACTATATCTGCCCGCTCGGAGCGGGACGTAAAGCTATATTTGCCCGCCGATGAAAATACAAGCTTTTACAAACCTGCTTTATGTACCTGTAACACGTCCAAGTGTTGGATAAATAGAGGATATTCTATGACTTTCGAGGGATACCATTTTTATCCATGAGTGGATATCGCCCATCTCCACGAGTGAGCGCAGCGAATGGGTGAAGATCAGCGATATCCAAAAGTGGATAAAAATGATAGCCGAGAAAATCATAGGATATCATATTTATCCGATGGTCGCTATTTTTGTATGGACTTCAAATAATTTGACCTAAAAGTTGTTGTTTTCTAATTCTATTCTATTTTTTTCATTCATTTCATTTCATTTTCTGTGACCTTATTTTTATAAAATTATTGCATGAAAATATACAACTCATTTTTACTGAGCATATAACCTTGGAACTTTTCTAATTTTTTCAAAATATTTTTTTCATTTTTTTTTCCAAATTTATTTTTCAATTTTTTTTTCATTTTTTTTTTCAATTTTTAAAAAACTTTTTTTAATTTTATTGTTTTTCAAAATATTTTTTTAAAATTGTTTACGTCATATGGATCGGATACGATTTTAGTGGCGTATACGAAAATTATCTTGTGTTGGTATCCCCATATATATAAAGTATCCATCGGATAAAAAATGTATCTACTTAAAATTATTTTGACATTACCGTCTTTTAAATCGTTCAATAACTATTATTTATAGAGATTGTAATGGGAATATTGGCATCATTTCTGAAAATATAGCTTCAAGCATCTAACAACTTTAATGACCCTTTTAAGATCGGAACCATTCACACCTTTCCTTGAAATCGATCCCTACAAGTCCATTTCAAACGATCACGATTCAAGGCATTTCGCCTTATTATTTACGTTACAATATTGACTAGGAAACGCATGGATATTGACTGCGGAATGTGCAAACTCACTCTATAATGTAAGACCAAACATCCATGATCAATAAGAAACTGTGTATTGTGACTACTAAAACAACTATATCCGACCGGACGATACAAGCAAACTGCCAAGAGTCCGTGTTGTACACATGGATCCATGCCCCCCCCCCTGGATCCTCCAGTGCGTTACAACGCCAAAGGTACCATAAAAATTCAGAGAATTTTGCTGATAGATTAGTTTCTCCTTTCAAAGAATACATACCTACTAGAAAAATATAAATTACGAAAAGAGGTAGCAGAAAGTAGAATGTCTTTTTAATCCAACCTCTATGCATTCGTCCCTTTGCTTTGATCCCATTGTTCTCAGACCTCTTGTCCGCCAAAATGTTTCGTAGCGAATCCATGGAAATCAACCTTACACTATCCCCTATCGCTTTATCATATGCACAACTCTCTTCGTTTTCATTCAGATCTATTAATTTCAAAAATAATATGCATTCGTCATCATTTTCCACTCATATTCCTTAAAATATTTTTTATAAGTGCACAGCTTTGTTATAGGCCTACGTCGTGCGCACTGCTCGGCCTTACCTCATTTGCATTTTGTAAAATATACGGCCCATCTTTTCACTCCACTTACATTATTGGCTTTTGTGACTCATGGTTTATTGTCGACTTGTAGGTCGTATGTGTACCAATTCAATATGTTACATCAGTACATAGTGGATATCAATATGAGCATGAGTGGATTAATTTGTTCATTCACATATTCTAAGAATATATAGACTTTATTTACTGGGAGGGATTGATTGGGGTTTATTCCGAGGGATGATATGATATTTCCCGAGGGCCCGATAGCACACCGAATCAGAAAAATCACATTAGCACATAAAAATGTCCATAATTAAGGCAAGGGTTCTTGAAAAATATTTATTATACCTTTGTTGATATTGAGTACTTCAAAATCACATAAACCAATAGTAACGTAGGTTAAGTTTTGAACAACATTGTCTTAATTCAAATTGACTAGCAACGAACAAAGGGAAGGCGAACAATCAACCGTTTACTCTGTATCCTATGTCCATTTTCAAAATCGTGTGATTTTTTCAAAGGACTTGCTGTTGACTTGTTTTAGTTACAAAAATTGTATTGTATACTGCTGGTTGAGTAAACGCTCTGAGGGTCAAAAGAATGACATTGTTTGTCCTAGGGGTTGAATATACCTGTAACCATTAACCCTTTCCCGACTTGAATACAAGGGGAAATGTTCGTCTGTGACGGAAAAGGAAACAAGGCTCCATAAAGGATCTTATCGTTGAAGGGGATAATATCAGAACGTATAGAAGTCTACGAGTAACAAAGATGATTTATTTATGTTTTCATTACCAAGGGGTTAATACTTGGCATTCCGATCCCTTACACCCCAGCCACATTTGTCGTACGGAGGCCGTGCGTCGATCGCAGATCAATTAATTATATATCAATGGATTTCTGCGGAGAGCGAAGAAAAACTACGCTCGCCTTGTGGTCTCCGTACGGCGCATCCAGTTTTTACAGGCCGCAGGGTAGCTGTAGAAATTATAACTCGGAGTTATAACATTTGTTCATTTCTGCGGTCCCCGTAGAAATCAACAGGCCGTTGCCAGACCGCAGGTAATGTACCGTTGGAAACAGTTTTTATGTCAGTTTTCGGTCATATATTTGCTGTTAACACAACACAATACGTATAGTGTTTGATGTAAGGTAACTGATACCACGTCAACTTATATTTCACTTGATTTTTTATTCGACACTATATCCTAACACTACAAACAACATTTATATATTGTACTGATGTAGATAAAATAAAAAGAAGAATTAACGTTAAATCCACAGAAATTCAAAAACTCGCTGTCATTTTCCCAAGGCCCCAATGATTTTCCTTTTAATTGACTAGTTTTTTCATTAACACCATGAATTCTACTGCCTGATGGTGACATTTTACAAAATTGTATCAAGAAATTGGGTATTTTATTGCATATTGCGATTTTTAGCCCAAATCACTGAACGTGAACCATAAAATTGGGACATTTTTGGTCTACTTAGGCAAAATGTTACTAAAATTATCAACTTTTTGCTATTTTATTCCATTGAACAACCTCCTGATTTGAACAATGATGACAAAGGAGTGGTATCGATATGGAGAACTGAATTCAACAATGTTTTTCTCTTAAAGTATGCGCCAAAGTTTAAAACTGCGCAGGCGCAGCGCCCTCGCTAACCTATATAAAGAGATTACAAGGTACAGGCTTCAGAGGTTAGTCAGGAGTATGAACAATCTTCGTCCCATGTTGATTGCCGTATACGTAAACAGGCAAGTTTCACCATTGAAATTGAAAATTACTATTAGATATACTTTGTAGATGTTATTAATGAGCTATTAAGTGTATGCATCAATCAAATGGCTCATTTTGAACATATAAAAAGTATTTGTGTTTTGTTTCCCAGGGAATCGTATTCCAATGCAGTACACACATAAATTAAATAGTGTACATTATGTAGTACTTGAATAGCCTAGTTTATATAATATTGAAGGACATGCTGATTGTACACACGAGTACATGCATGAAGGCCTAATATTGATATTGCTTGCATACCTAAATAAAAATAAACTCTTCTAATCCCCTAATGTAAACACGGCGGTATACGTAGTCCGATTTATCGGAGACTTTAAACCAATCATTGAAAAAATTCTGTAAAAACACGGTATTTTATGTAATGTTGATTGATTGACAACAATTTAATGCGAAAATCATTTAGAAATATTTTGTATAACTGTTTTTGTTAACATTTTTTGTTTTTTAGTGCAACTGTTTTTGCTCCTTTGAGAATGAAATAAAATGTCTTTCCGAACCTTGTTCACGGGGTACCATCGAATAATTTTGGCAACGTACCGGAGAACGACATTTTACTAAGAAATGGCAATAATTTAGCACAATATATTTTTTAACTAGAGTTCTATTTTGATTTTGACAAAAGTAAGTATTCCATGCAATAACTATTTCATTCATGAGTTTGTAGGAATTCTGTTGGAACCCAGTTCTGATCAAGAACGAAGTTATTGAAATCGGCGCAGACGGACTTTACTCCGAAAGATGGTTTTTCGATTATAACTTTTCACAACATTTAAGTATAGACTTTTGAAAAAAGTACAGAATAGTCCTTATACTTTTGAATAATTCTGTTATTTCTGATTCACACGACTCTGATTTGTTTAATTAAAAAAAAAGTTTTAAAAATATTACTTAGGAACGTAACCGGAGCTGGGAACGTAACCGGAGCAGATCAGTTGAATTATTTAATCAAAAAAATTAAAATATATGATTTAAAGCACATATACTAATTTAAAAACATACGGGATTGTTCGAATGCGTATTTATTACATTTTATTTAAAGAAAAAAATTTATCCAGGGTGAAAAATTAAATTTGGTATTTACCATGCATAAGTGCACTTACCTTAGAAAAGCTATGAAACATAGAACAATCATTGTATGGAGAATGAAGTGATTAAATGTAGTAAGCAAATAATTCCATTTGATTTCACCCATTGTATTTGTTCAGCGAACTATTAGAACCCACTCTGTTATACTAATTTCGTATATATATACTGTTTATACATACATGTATTATACTTCTAAGACAACTTCTCTTTTTCAGGGGAAATAAAAGCATTTAAATGCTAGATTATTAAAAAAGTTAGGATACAACGAACTGTAAATAGCGTAGGTGTGTTAAGTACTTGTCATGTGCTCGACCAAATCGAATCAACATATGCTTTCTGAAATTCTTCACCTAACCCCCCCCCTCCATATAAACGTAAGATGTTTGAGTGAGTGCCCGTTTATTGTTTTATGCAAAACCAGTTGTTATCCATCTTTGTTTCGATAAACCTAGGCGTGGGTCATTAAGCAAGTAAGAAAGTGAATGATTTTTTCTAGTTAAACTACAGAACATTGCTTTTCAGTCGTTAATAGACAGTGTTCTATAATTCTATCACACCAAGTAAGCTGACATATGTGTTTGTAAATAATATATTTGCTTTAAATCATATATTTTATTTTTTTAAATTATATAATTCAACTGATCTGCTCCGGTTACGTTCCCAGCTCCGGTTACGTTCCTAAGTAATATTTTTAAAACTTTTTTTTAATTAAACAAATCAGAGTCGTGTGAATCAGAAATAACAGAATTATTCAAAAGTATAAGGACTATTCTGTACTTTTTTCAAATGTCTATACTTAAATGTTGTAAAAAGTTATAATCGAAAAACCATCTTTCGGAGTAAAGTCCGTCTGCGCCGATTTCAATAACTTCGTACTTGATCAGAACTGGGTTCCAACAGAATTCCTACAAACTCATGAATGAAATAGTTATTGCATGGAATACTTACTTTTGTCAAAATCAAAATAGAACTCTAGTTAAAAAATATATTGTGCTAAATTATTGCCATTTCTTAGTAAAATTTTGTTCTCCGGTACGTTGCCAAAATTATTCGATGGTACCCCGTGACAGCATATACAACATGTTTTTAGACTTGTCAATATTATAGTTATGCAAAGGAATTTTTGGTTGATTTTAAAAAATTATTCAAAAAATTAAAACAAAAACTCCCCAAAATAGAAAAAATCAGGATAAACCTTTTTATGTCCCCACCACATAGTGTGGGGCCATATTGTCGGCCTAGGCGCGTCCGTCCGTCTGTCTGTCTGTCTGTCCGTCCGTCCGTCCGTCCGTACGTCCGGTAGTTTTCTCCAAAACCGCTACAGATATCACCTTCAAATTTTCAGGGGTAACTTATGAGTGCATACAGATGTAGACGAAAGATTTTTAGCTCGATACCTACTTCCTGTCGGCCATTTTGAAGTCAAATGCTAAAATCCTTGTCTGCAAACTTTAAGAAAAACGGCTTCACGGTTGCTTTTAAAACTTTAACATCTTGTTCAGCCTACTTCATTCTACATCTGATTAGGTTTTGGACCTATTAGCTCAGTCATGTCAGCCATTTTTAATGTCTTAAGAAAAGTTAGCGCGCGATAATACTTTGTTTCATATTGAACGGTGTTTTTGAGTTTTCATACTCTAACTATTTAGTAGCTTTATAGATAATTTTAGATGTACTTTGTTGTAAAACCCTATGTTATTGTTAACAGTGGTTATATGTGACAATTTTGTAAAAGGAAATCAGCAAAAACTCATAATCACTTTTTTATTGTCGGCCATTTTGGATTTTTCCGTCCTAAAATCTTGTATGTAAAGTCTTGTCTACGCGTTTTCAGGTGAATCGTTTGGTAGATCAATTTCAAATTTTCAGGGATGATTCTTAGTATGAAAATCTAGATCTGATTAGTTTTTTGGCATTCTGGGTAAATGTCAAGGCAGCCATTTTGGATTTTCCGTCCTAAAATCTTGTCTGTAAAGTCTTGTCTACGCGTTTTCAGGTGAACCATTTGGTAGATCAATTTCAAATTTTCAGGGATGATTCCTTGTATTAAAATCTAGAACTGATTCGTTTTTTTTGGCATTCTGGATAAATGTCAGGGCAGCCATTTTGGATTTTCCGTCCTAAAATCTTGTCTGTAAAGTCTTGTCTACGCGTTTTCAGGTGAACCGTTTGGTAGATCAATTTTAAATTTTCAGGGATGATTCTTAGTATAAAAATCTAGATCTGATTAGTTTTTTAGGCATTCTGGGCAAATATAAAGGCAGCCATTTTGGATTTTTCCATCCTAAAATCTTGTCCGTAAAGTCTTGTTTACGTGTTTTCTGGTTTACTGTTTGACGGATCAATTTCAAATTTTCAGGTATGGTTCTTAGTATGAAAATCTAGAGCTGACTAAATTTTGGCATTCTGGGTAAATTTTAAGGTGGCCATTTGCATTTTCCATCCCAAAATTGTAACAGTAAAGACTTGTCTACTCATTTTCAGGATAACCATTTGACGGGATCACCCATTGGTGGGGACATATTGTACACATTTGTGTTCTTGTATTTTCAAGATACTTTTTAAAATCAACCAAAATTTAATTTGTACAATTGCAATATTGAGAGACCTAAACATGTTGTGTTTATGTCGTTTTGTTCCAATGAGGTTCGGAAAGAAGTTTCATTTCACTCTGGAAACATGATACCAAGAACAAAACAAGTGTTTGATGTGTTTTTCTAAAACAATATAGATGAAAGTATATAATATGTTTTTCAAATTATATTGTTACCATTCAAAAGATGTGTTAAGTTTTTAGAGTTTTTTATGACTGGTTTAAGAGAAACGTATGTTCAAAAAGTTCTCCATATCGATACCACTCCTTTGATCAATTTTGAGTCTGGCTTTAAGAATTGGGACTTTAAAGGTAGTTTTAGCTCGAATTTATTCATTCAGAGTGGACAATACATCAAAAATTGACACATAACTGACCAAACTCTGAATGTCCCCTTGATATGTACCTTCATTCTTTCCTCGAAACCATGAGATGGAAAATTCAATCTTTTTATGAACAGAAACTCATTGGCTTTCATATGACATCTAGGGGTCATTTAGCGCGAAATTGTAGCCAAATATCGTCAAAATCAATGGTTTTTTGGAGTTAAAATCGAAAACTGCTGATTCACATATTTGTTCATGAAAATTCCTCTTCTTGCCTCCTCTAGAATATGTTTCACACTAATAAACTTCAATTCTGGGCGATTCTGAGTAGTTTTAAAAAATTTGGTCACTATCACATGTGGCTAATAGGCAAAACAGCCCTTATTCTCGTCACCATATTAGTCAATGGGCAAAAGGGCAAACGCCTGACTTTTTATCTCGAGTTATGGATTCATGTGACCCCACTAGCCTATGTTAGGTTCTAAAGCAATGTCTAAGCTACATTTTGACACTAAACTCAATAGGGGCCAAACATCTACTTTTTGAAATAATTGGTCAATTGTGACACTACCCCCACTCTCTGCCGACAGAAACTGAACTTCACAAAAATGAAGCCAAAAGTAATACGCCACTTGACTCGAAATTTTTCCTTCAGATAACCCAAATAAACGCATTTTCAGTTGAAATGGCATGTTGTGTTGTTGTCATTCCAAAAGGTGACAACTGTACCTACATACTAGCTTACTGACTCGTCATGGTCACAATTGTGTTGGGACTACATTCATTTTTATAACTACTTTTTTCTTTTTTTCTTTCACTTTTTCGGAAGTGACGTATTAGGGCATTTTGGCCATTGCGTTTATTGATATTTAATTCAAGGGCTAATGCCATTCAAATGCGCTCCATTGTAAATGTTTTGAAATCCGAATTATTTGTGTTACCCGTCATCGACTTTTCCTATGATCATGATGGTTATTAAATAATAAAATAAAACCATATGGCTTCACATAATACTACGAGAAATTAGGGACTAGGGACAATATAACATAATTAAGTGATTTTAAGATGGGATGAAATCTTTATTTTATGATATAGATTAAGTCTCAGATTTATAGATTAAGGTTTCAGGTCATATTACATATATACAATATACTTCATTGAGTATGTTAACACATATCTCATTCCTATCGTACACTATGAGGACACTATTGAGCTCAATAGAAAGCATTGTCATCTGAAGAGAAATCATCCTCAATCGGGTACATGTCCGCATTTTCTACCCACAATGCATTTCTTTTGGTTCTTCCCTCAGATACAATGCTAGATTCAGCGCCACCTTTATTTGCTGATATCAAGAAATTATGAATATTCATATAATTGTTCTCCATCCATTTGATATTGTGCCGTGTGCGCACTACCAGTCTATTGAGGGCAGATTGCTCAGAGCTAGACGTACCAGGATATCTCTCAATGAGGGACTTCAACTGCAACAGAAGTCGATTTTGTAAATAAAAGAAAATCTCCATTGTATTGTTTATTTTTTTGTCGTAATAATATATATCATCTAATATTTGAGTGCTGTTGACGGTTAACTATTGAGCAATTTTGGCTGCGTTTTTGAACTGCTCGCGGGCGAGTGCATTGTGTTCCTCCTAGGTATTACAAAAAATAATAATGAGCCAATGCGATGCAAATCACATGCTTACACGTTTTCAACAAAAGCAGTTCATCCAAGCGCACCTGAACCGCTAACTACGCCGTGACAACCTTGCCGACTGTTCGCGTGTGTTAACCGAGCAGGCTTGTTGCTAGTGCACCACGTACAGGAGTTCGATATCAATAAACCATGATATCTTTCAAAAGAAGTATGTGGGTATTAGTGCGCTTGAATGAGATCTTTTGTTGAAAACACATGAGCATGTAATGAACACTGCAGGGCTTATTGTTCTTTTTAGTGATACCTGGGGAGAAAACTCATTAAAATATTACGCAATTTTCTAGCACCGCGGGCCTACAAAAATACAGTAATAGTCTTATGGGGTTATTTTTTGAAAAAAATATTGCCCAGGGAAGAATTGGATCTGCGCACAATTTTATGATACACCCATATTTAAAAAAGGTTGGCAACAAATCGTCTGTTCATGTTCGAAAACTCTGAAAATTTTCAAATCTCAGTTTTACCATTTGCAGTTGTTCCTGTGTGTTCCAACCAGAGGTTATTGTCGAGAGAATGCTGGAACGACTTCTGCAATTTGAATAATATCATCACTTAACATTTGTTCACATACAGGTATCTTCGGAAATTTGTCTAAAAGTTAACTAGCAAAAACCCACTGTAGCATAACCTTCCTTTATCTGATATAATTCGTCTTCTACTTAGAAACACATGTTAATCAATCAGTCAAGGCGATGGCATTATTCTGCTCTTAAAATACCTATTAATAGTTCCCCAGTTCGTTTGAATATAATTCCAAACTATTCCTTTGCCAATATCTCTGGAAGCTATTTCTCTAACCATCAACGAAGAAGGAGAGTCTGCTGCATTAAGCTTTTCAACCGCAATAGCCAAATACCTACAAAAATTATAAAGAAACGATTGAAAACCTGGATACACAAGCTGAAAAACAAATCAACTTACTTGATTTTGACTACCCTGTGTGCAGAGTCTCGTTTTTAACTAAAAAAGAAGATGATGAAGCTCTCTTTTGAGAAGCGAAGTCGAACGAATGCAAAGGGTATATTTGACAAACCAAATATGAATCTCAATGAAGAGAAACATACTTCTTCAATATCCAAGGCTCCCTTGTACACGCTAAAGCGCGCCTAAGGCGGTCCTTCTCAAATTCTATATAATCGGTGGTCCACCTGTTGTATTGATCCCAAACATGCGACCATTCACTCCAACCACCGTTTTGAACTGCCTCGCAATAAACCGTTCCTCTGAAGTCAGGATGGATACTGAAAATAGTCCAATTAATCAGTTCATGAATTTGTTACCATTAACACACTTTTGCATGCACTTATACCTTGCTTTCAAACTAAAAATCATCATGCCCCTAGTTTTCTCATAGGCATTAAGAATATAAACATCAAATACATTATTTCCATAATATAATCACTGCAGAGCTCAAATATCTTTAAAGTGGCACGATTCAATGTTTTGTTTCTTTGATGTAGCACTTTAATGGATCGAATTATTGCGAATGATTCTCAAAGGAATGGTTGTGCAGAACGACTAAATGATAAGCCTTAACCATCCTCGTCCTCCGAACGCAGGGGTTCAAACATCGTCCTTTCTTCTTTCTATAGCGTGGGTGATGTCTGGAGACATGCGTTCCGAGGATGACTCTTAGCGTACGTACTCGTTTATACCAGTGTTCATCCAATCATCAAATAGTTTAGATGCCTCATTGAGACATGGTTGATGGCGGTGCTTGCAGGCTTGAGCAATCATATTTGATCTCAAATATCTATAAATGAATACAAGATATAAGCATCATTATACCACAGGACACTTCATTCACACTCATACTGAATTCATACACACACATGTTTGATTTATACATATATTTTTGCCTTCAAACTTAAGGGTAGATGTGTGGTATAAACTTTGTGTCAAATTTATGATATTTTCACATTTGTGATTCAAATTCATGCGCATCATTCTGAGACTGCATTCTTGCGGTGATTTTTTATTAACAAAGAACTAAGACTGTAAACTGACTTTTCCTGGTGTTCCACTGGATCGGAATTGTTCCAACCGGTAAGGTTATATACTGGTAAAAGTCTATCTAGCACATATTCCTGTAAATCATAAAGACAAATATGTTGAATCTATCTCCAGAGTTAACAATATATGCATGATCATTCTTCTTATTATTGTTAATAGGTTATAAAAACATAATATCATATAAGGTTCTTTGTGTATTGTGTTTTCTGTAAATTCACTTAGTCTCGGTTACTCGAATTCAACATTTGATACCATATGATTCATCATGTTATCAAGAAAATGTTATTTTCTTGATTAATCGCAGAATGTATTTCATGATTTTAAACTTCATATCTCCCCATATTCATACACATAGACAAAATATATGATAATTTAAATTGTTAATTAGCTAATATTATCTCATCCCTTACCCTGAATTCTGTGTATGCCTCGGTGTATCTTAACATTGTTTCAACTTCAGTCAGGCCAGTCAATGCTGCAGCCCATGGGATATACTCCCTTTCATTCTTTAAATATTCTGTCGTCCTCAGGGCTATTACATAATCTAACTGACCAGCCCTGGAAAAATAGAGCGCTCCCATAAACTTTACCACCTTTTACTGTACTAGGGAGACTGGAGTATACTGGGCAGATGATGTCTAGATCATAATGTCTTAGGTTGTAGATAGCAATGTTATTCAAACAAAAAGAACAAAACGTTTTCCGATATAGCAATTAGTTAACATAGCAAAAAATAGCAAATTAGCAACATAGAATAGCAAGTTAGCAACATAGAATAGCAAGTTAGCAACATAGAAACATAGCAAGTTAGCAACATAGAAACAGCAAATTAGCAACCTATGACATTTGGTATCATCAATTTAGCAAATGACCTGAATATACCTAACTGATTTATTCATATATTAATCTGAACATGTTTTATCCAAAAATATTTTGGTTCGATATACAATGTCAATTATTCGAATATGCGTTTCATAAACAATTTTAGGAAATATCACACGATCTCTAAAATATAATATAATTATCGTGGGGTGAATTATAATAACTAATATATAATCAAATTGAAAAACATATAATAATATATTTATACCAGTATTTCACATTTACAGTTATAACATAAATAAATTAGATCTTACTTTGCCAGATTGAACGAGTCATCTACAAGCTGGGCTCTGTTTTGAACTGATATTTGCTGAAAATAAAGATAACCAAACTCCTACATATAATTTTTGTGCATCTTATAGCCTTGACCAGGATAATAATATTTTTAAACTAAATTAAACTATATTCCAGCTGTCACAAAAACAGAGGTCGCCGATTGTTTCATTTCTGAACAACCGGAATGCCATAAGATCGCTTATCCAAAAACATATTCTAACACATTGTAAACTTATCTAAAGTTACTAACACTATTGTTCGATTTTAACGCCATCACAAGTTTCCCCCAAAGTACAGCATCGTAATTGACTCGGTAGAATCCCTTCTGGTCAACATTAAACAGCATCCAAGTATCGTCGTTCCACGTAGAAACATTCACTTTTAGAACAATAGTATATAGTTTCACAAAACAGTACAAATAATGTTTTAATTTCCATAAGACCGGGATATTGTTAAACAAATAAGAATTACACAAACAAGAACAAAACAGCTCTTCAAATTATATCTTACTCTTCAAATAATGTCCATTACATTTGTGACACTGTATACCAAACATATACATGTAACTGAAGAGTGTAAGGGAGCCATACCTATACTATTATGGACAAATACATCTTCGTTCTCTCGGCTCCCGTCGGTCGCAACGTAGTGAAGACAGAGCGTGCGAAAATGGGACAACTGGGTGATTCTACTTATAAAGCAGCAGATGAAATATTAACCTACCCTCTCTATCTCTGTACATCCATATATAGTCCTCTTCATTAGGTGTTCGTCGAGTTAATGGCACGTGCCAAAGGTAATCCCTATTAAGAATATATTCAATTTAATTCTAAATCTCGGAGACAAGGCCAAATCACAGAAGAATGGCTGCGTCACAGAACAACAATTACACAATATCGGTGAAAGGTGTATAATCTACCAGACAGTGTATTTTGGAGAGTAAACCTATGTATATGCGAAGATGACGATGACTTATAGTTATAAGATATTATATATTGTCCTTTGTCTATGAACGATACGCTATGATTTGAGGTCATTAAGAATTTTCTCTCTTGCACGATTGGTTCTGTAATCTGATACTAATCCACATGATACATTTCTTCTACTTTTCCCTATTTTGTCATCCTTATTACCGAGGTACATGATTTGTTGCATTGGATATGAAGTCCGGTAATAAATTCCATCTTACATGACTGGTTCTTGCTTTGCATCTGACCGAAACTTACCCATAGATTGATTCCTCACTTAAAGGCTCACTTTCATTATAGAGGAAGTGCTTCTGTGTCAGCGTAACACCATTGTTGTGTTTTGTAACATCTATCACAGGATATCCCATTTGTCGAATCCAGGTATTCATAATGTCTGTAAAGTTCACCTTGGAACTATCCCAGTTTAGTCTTGTTTGGGGGAATGTATCGATTGCCTATAATTTTGATTGGTCAGTTAGAACAGTGCGATAGGTGCGATCATTTATTTTGTAAATTTCAATACATCAAATAATTATAGTCTAATTCCAAGTTATTAATCATACCAATTGACGATGTGCACTGTAGTAGATTTTAATATATCAATTAATTACTATGTATTATGTATTATATTATATTATATGATATTACATTATAGTATATTAAATTATACATAAAATATTGCTCCAAGAAAAATATTCCAGATGCGTTTTAAATTTCCATTTATTTATTGAACTAACAGTGTACAGTGTACTTATATGACCAATCAAACCTAGCACAATTTGATCAGTGTATCTTTCATATTGATTGGCCTGTATAGCTTGCTTACCTCTTGGAATGCTTCGTATAGATCTTCTGTGAATGCAGGCTTGTAAGCAAATTTTGTCAAATATTTCTGGAAAATATATTTTTGTGAAATGAACAGTACGGAAGACCCAATTAGAACTATACAGCTATTTATACGCAAATATATTTGTTAAAACTTAAAATGTGGCTATATTTAATTGTTATTATATTCTACTTACATTTACACATGCTTTAAAAACATCCTCTCCAAGGAAGTCTCTCATCATCCTTATTACCGAGCCACCCTAGAAATATACTTCCATTTCATATTTCCCATATATTTGCATTCAGTTGATCTACACAAGTATGAGAAAGCACAGACAAATGGGTAAAGAGCAAACATGGCAAAGGATACTAGATCACATCATTGAAACCGAAATTATTACAACATGAGAAACAATGAGAAAGATAAACAAGAGCAATACTCCATCATTTGGAATTACTATTCATATGATGGAATATACTAGTTTAAAATGCTGTGTCACCCTTAACTAGTAAAGGCTTTAAACACTTTCAGAACACCTTGACTCATTACCTTGTTGTATGTAATGCCACTAAACGCTTTCCTGACGTCAATATGATGTTCAATATCTTTAACATATATTGGTTGTGACGTCGATCCACCATCATTCACTAGATATGGTTGGACCCTCTGACGTAGCACAAATTCATCCTATGACAAGGTAATTTACATTTCACAAAGTAATACTTAAATAGGGCAGTGGTACTGTTCATATTTTCTATTATATATACTTTTATGAACATTCTTTAACCAATGCAATGTATTTGAGTATATCATAAATAGCTGATCATACAGTCATTCGGTTTTTCACGAGGATGCTTCAGTGAGCGCACTGAAAATAACATTTATTTTTATTCTTAAGAATGCACAATAAAAGGGCAAAATTACCACTTATACAGTATATTTGCAAGTTACACGCAAGTTAATGCAGCTTACATCATACTTCCAGTTAACCTCGGTCAGGTTGTCGACTGCGGGTGCAGTCATAAAGGTCGCCCAGGCCTCATTGACCCAAGTGTCACTCCACCAGGCACAAGTGACAAGATTCCCAAACCACTGAAAGATCCGTTTTAAAATATAGAGATTTACTCACATACTGGTATATACTTCACTAATGATATATATACATATTATATAAGAACATTATGTAACTGTACGTACATCAAGAACAATCCCTATTGTCACAATTTTCCATTTTTGTAATGATATAATAATTTATTAAAGAGCACGTGGGTTATCGCAAACAATTTCAGAAGGTTATATCTTGGATTATGACTATTTTCTGATAATGAAGACAAGTTTATCTTTTAGATCAATTCATTATCTCTAAGAAAATTATGCACGGTAATAATAAATTCAAACAAACTCGGAGATATTTAACTAGCAATTAACCCATCAACACACTTTTTGACCCCACTTTGAAGATGTTGACCCCATTTTCACCAAAAATGCAATCATTTTTTACAATGTTTAATGCATTACTATTCTTTATTTTGATGTATCAAATAGTTCTTGAAAGAAAAACGTAATTGCATTAAGATAAGTGTTCCCCATGTTATTTCTCCATTGAAAAATCTCATGCTATCCATTGGTTTCAGTTCATTTTGGTTATCCAAATTGAATATCTTTAAAGTCCCTGGAGCAATCAAATTTTTCTTTTAGGAAATCGAACATGTCTCAAAGCACATTCTAATTATGCATTCAACAATATAATAATGGGTTGCATTTTTGGTGAAAACTAGGTCAACATTTTTGAAAAAGTATGTTGATTGGTCCATTGCCCCTTCAATATCACTTAGGTCTGATTAACTAAATTATCATTATATATACTTTTCTTGAAGATAATGAATGGATCTAAAAGATACACCCATGTTCATGATCAGAAAATATTCATAATTCAAGTTAGAATCGTTTGAAATTGTTTGCGATAACCTACGTGCTCCTTTTGAGAACTTCGCAAAAACATATAAGTAAATGAATACAGTCAACAGTATATTTTTAAATATATTCGAATGTGTATAGTTTTCACATGGCGTATACCTGATGTGCAAGCTCATGTGCAATAACTCCAGTTACTCTCATCTTTCTATTCGTGCCTACATAAGCCTTGGTGTACAAAAGCAATGTTTCCCTGTATGTAACGAGGCCCCAATTTTCCATTGCTCCAGATCGAAAATCGGGAAGTGCAATTTGGTCTAGACAAAACAAAGACAGAAAGAAACTAAGAAATATAGATTAAAATGGTATGCTTATAGACAGTGCAATGTTTCCGTGAATGGATAAGGCCCCAATGTTCCACCGTTCCAAATCGAAAATCGGTAAGTGCAATTTGGTCTAGACAAATCAAAGACAGAAAGAAACTAAGAAATATAGATTAAAATGGTATGCTTATAGACAGTGCAATATTTCCCTGTATGTATTTAGGCCCCAGTTTTCCACTGCTCCAAATCAAAAATCGGTAAGAGTGCAATTTGGTCAAGACAAAATAAAGATAGAAGGAAACTAAGAAAAATATAGATTAAAATGGTATGCATATAGACAGTGCAATGTTTCCCTAGGCCTAGATTTTCCAGCGCGCTAGATCCAAAACTGAGAGGTGCAAATCGTTTAGACAAAACAAACAATGGCAGAAAGAAAATAAGAAATACAAATAAAAATGGTCTGTTTGAAGACAGCGCAATGTTTGCCTGTATGGAACTAGGCTCTAATTTTCCGTCGCTTCAGATCAAACATTAGAAAGCCTAAACAAAACAATCAAAAGCAGAAAGAAACTAAGACATATTAAATTAAAATGGTATAATGGTACGAGAAAAAAGAAAAGAAGACAGAAATAAAAAGATTAGATTAAAATGGTATAGACAGTGTAATTTTATGTGCCATAGCATATTTACTGTGCAAATATTTGAGCACTTAAAGACATGCATGGATAAACGAGAATAGAGACCAGAATGACAAGAAGGTAAAAGGAGTCGTTGTAAGTCTATGGTGTTTAAACTGCTTCTTTATTCGGTACATTAATATTCAATAAATACCAAATAAAACAAACAATTTACCAAACCTTTACCCAATCTATCGAATGTTTTTTATTTTATCAAATGTAATAATCGATACAATTTATATTCGCTAAATAGTTTCACTTGTTCTTTGTATTGACATTCACATTTGATATTTATACATGTATTTGTGTGATGCAGCGAATCAATTTGTTTTCCTTAACGCACGTATAATTCAATTAATTATTTGTACATTCGGTATTTGAATTATTTACATTCGGTAAATACCGAATGCCACATTCGATAAATTTCGTTATTTTTCGATAATTTACGAGGCTTTCAATCACGTGATATATTTGTACGATGTAGAATAGCTGCGCGGCCATTTTGCAAATCTCGAAGTCACGTGACAAAATATCGAAAAACAACGCAAGTTATCGAATATAACTTTATTGCATTCGGTAAATAGCAAATTAGCTTTCGGTAAAATGCATTAACTATGTCATAGAAACATAAACCATTTGGTATATATAGGCAAACTTATTTCGGTAGGGTTCAAATAGAAATTCAATATTGTGCATATAATGTGTAACTCTTAAGGAATACCATAACAATTTACGCAAAAAATATCATTTAACGAATGAAATATGTAATTTAATGCACATAGTATTAAGTGATTGGCTATTTTGAAAACTTAATTTGCTGTAACAAACATATAAACGTTTTTACCGAATGGAAAAATGATTTAGCGAATATAAATGTTTCATATATCGAATATATTTGAATTTAATGAATAAAGAAGCAAAAATAATGCCATATAAGTCAGCCTTTGAAATGCAGGGTATTCTACACACAAAGCTATCTACATTGTGCTGTGTTTAGTGCTAGGCATCTTCAAGTTACACCTGATGTGCTAGTTCAACTTTCTACTTGTTGTAGCATAATTAGTTGTATAAATTAAGGCTGTACGTCACAAGACCCCAGTTTTCCATGGCACCGGCCTCAAAATCAGGTAGGGCTATTTGAACTGTAATTCAACAGACGCTATTTATTCAATATAATGAATATATCATGCCTCCCGGATCAAGCGCCATTTGATTCAACAGATGGTACTTATTCAACATAATGTATTTACCATGCCTCATTAACATGTACATTTAGGACTGTTTGATCTATATTTTAACATGCGCTACTACCGTGTCCCAACTTAAGGCCTATTTGATATATCAACAGAACCCTCTATTAATTAGAGGTAAATAAATAAACAATATAATATAAACAGACACTGCTTATTCAATGAGTATACAATGAGTAACACATTAAGCGCTATATGTTCTATAATGCGAAATAAAGACGCTACTTAATAATTCAGGATAATGAATATACCATGCCTCAACGTATTTATGGTTATTTGATCTCCAATACAACGGACACAATTCGTTTGGTTTATTGAAATGGATATGGCTCCAAACAGTATATAATTAGAGGCATAAAAGATGGCAAGTATACTAGCAATCTGATCCTAACCAATAGAAACATGAAACAAGAACACAAATGTGTACAAAATGTCCCCACCTATAGGTGATCCCGTCAAATGGTTATCCTAAAAATGAGTAGACAAGACTTTACCGACACAATTTGAGGACGGAATATCCAAAATGACCACCTTAAAATTTACCCAGAAAGCCCAAAAATAAGTCAGTTCTAGATTTTCATACTAAGAACCACCCCTGAAAATTTGAAATTGATCCCTCATACAGTTAACCAGAAAACATGTAAACAAGACTTTACAAACAAGATTTTAGGATGGAAAATCCAAAATGGCTGCCTTGATATTTATCAAGAAAGCCAAAAAACTAATCTCTTCCTGATTTTCATACTAAGAATCATCCCTGAAAATTTGAAATTGATCTACCAAACGGTTCACCTGGAAATGCGTAGACAAAACTTAACAGACAAGATTTTAGGACAGAAAATCCAAAATGGCTGCCTTGACATTTACCCAGAATGCCCAAAACCTAATGGGATCTAGATTTTCATACTAAGAATCATCCCTGAAAATTTGAAATTGATCTACCAAACGGTTCACCTAAAAACGCGTAGACAAGACTTTACAGGCAAGATTTTAAGACAGAAAATCCAAAATGGCTGCCTTGACATTTGTCCAGAATGCCAAAAAACTAAATAGATCTAGATTTTAATACTAAGAATCATCCCTGAAAATTCGAAATTGATCTACCAAACGGTTCACCTGGAAATGCGTAGACAAGACTTTACAGACAAGATTTTAGGACAGAAAATCCAAAATGGCTGCCTTGACATTTACCCAGAATGCCAAAAAACTAATCAGATCTAGATTTTCATACTAAGAATCATCCCTGAAAATTTGAAATTGATCTACCACACGGTTAACCTAAAAAAGTGTAGACAAGACTTTATGGGCAAGATTTTAAGATGGAAAATCCAAAATGGCTGCCTTAACATTTATCCAGAATGCCAAAAAACTAATCAGATCTAGATTTTCATACTTAGAATCATCCCTGAAAATTTGAAATTGATCTACCAAATAGTTCACCTGGAAATATGTAGACAAGACTTTACAGACAAGCTTTTAGGACGGAAACTCCAAAATTGCTGCCTTGACATTTACCCAGAATGCCCAAAAACTAATCAGATCTAGATTTTCATACTAAAAATCATCCCTGAAAATTTGAAATTGATCTACCAAACGGTTCACCTGAAAACGCGTAGACAAGACTTTACAGACAAGATTTTAAGACGGAAAAATCCAAAATGGCCGACAATAAAAAAGTGATTATGAGTTTTTGCTGATTTCTTTTAACAAAATTATCACATATAACTACTGTTAACAATAACATAGGCTAGCTTTTACAACAAAGAACACCTGAAATTATTTATAAAGCTACTAAATAGTTAAAGTATGAAAACTGAAAAACACCATTCAATATGATACAAAGTATTATCGCGCGCTAACTTTTCTTAAAACATTCAAAATGGCTGACAGGTCCAAAACCTAATCAGATGTAGAATGAAGTGAGCTGAACAAGATGTTAAAGTTTCAAAAGCAACTGTGAAGCCATTTTTCTTAAAGTTTGCAGACAAGGATTTTAGCATTTGACTTCAAAATGGCCGACAGGAAGTAGGTATCGAGTTTGAATTTGAAGGTGATATCTGTAGCGGTTTTGAAGAAAACTGCCGGACGTACGGACGGACGGACAGACGAACGGACAGACGGACAGACGCGCCTAGGCCGACAATATAGTGTGGGGACATAAAAACTAGTTAGAAAGACATTGTATTGAATATTTCTGACCAAAGAAAGTTCCATACTATCTCATATTTTTATATCCAAGACACACAATTTCGTATTGTACAATGTATAGCTCCCGAGAGACCTGAAACATGTTGATATGGAGATGTAACAACATTTAAATGCATGCAAATAAATACATCTACTGTATATCTATGATGTCTTCGTTTGTATGGATTTTTACATTAAAATGCAGTTTTGAACCAAAAGAGGCCATTCATTTATACCTACAGTTTTGGTCAATTCCACATGCGTGTGCTGATTTTCATAGGCTGAACATTCTAATATATATATTTTGTAAGGTCTCTATGGTATTTATTGGATCACATGATTAGATGCTTACCTGTTTTGTTAAGAGGATATTTTACTCCAGTGTAATCTTCAAAAAACTCTAAAATTCTCCCACTAACGCCGAGGCTGTAATCAAGTAAACCTTCGTCAACATAATCTGGTCGTGCCCAATGGCGGAACTAAAATAAAACGTATTCCGATATTAAAACCACAAAATTAATCTTATAACATTTGAATCTGGTTATGGTCTTAAAAGATAAAAGTGTAACTTTATTCACTGTTTAATCTAGAATTTCAAACATAGACTAAGAACTCAGATATTGTTGACTTACAAATGTTCCCGCTTTAGTTGTGTAATTCTTTGACTTGAAGTCAGATACAACGAATGCAAGTAAGTAGGGTGACATCTTTACTGTAGTCTTGTATACGTCTGCTACCCAATCATCATCCCTGAACATAAAATTGTAATCAATCATAGTTATATATATTTTAATGGTACATGTGCAGTAAATCGGGTGTCTCAAAAATGAGACACTTTTTGACAAGTATTTTCTCGGCAACCGATGGACCAATTTGTACAAAAGAGGCTCAGGAGTATCGTTAGCAAGGTACAAAAATATAACAAAGATCAAATAAATGTTGTGTGAGAAATTTAAGATGGCATGTCAAAATATCCCATACAGGAGCAATGCCATAAAATGAGAATTTTATCGCGTTTATTCCAAAAATGGGAAGCAATTTGACAAGTGATTTCTCAGCAAAAGATGAGCTAAATTATTTGAAAACTTTGCTTGGGGCACTTTAGGGTATCTCTTCAGCTAGTGCTATGAATACGCTATAGATTGGCTTTATATTATGTGTATATTGTTGAAATGGAGACAGTATGTAAAAATAACCAATATCGATGTAAATCTCACATCAAATCATTTTCAAGCAAAATACCTTTCCGTATTTATTCTAACAATATCACCTCCAATGAATTTTGAGAATGATGGATTTTGGATATTTGGGAAGAATGAAATGATTTAAGTAGACATGACACACTGACAAGCTATTTGGACGTATTAATAATTGCTATCACCTGATAGCTGGTACAACCACTATAGAGGTCTCATCGCAGAGCTCCGGTATGGGGATTTTTGACATGCTATTTTGAATTTTTAATTACTCGCAGAATATTTACTTCATCTTTTTATATTTTTCACAACTATCTAATGATACTCTCAGGCTAATTTGTACAAATTTTCAGTGAATTTGGTTAATCAGTTGCTGGGAAAATACCTGGCAAAAAGTGTCTCATTTTTTGGAACACCCGATAATGTTAAAACATTGTCCTATAATGTTTTAAAAAACAAAGTCAATTTAAATACCACTCCTCCAGAATTACATGAAAAAAGTTCGTTTAGTCATTGACCCTCTATCCGAAGACAGAGGTCCGTGTACAAATTAATGAAAATAATAATGTTAACATATACCTATTGATTTGTTCTTTGATTTCCATATTTGAAATTGACGAAAAGTGTGACTTTCTTACGAGAGTGACGTCATATGTAGCTTTCAGAGCAGGTTCGTCAAAACAAGGGAATACCTTTCGAAGATATGTTGTTTCAAATTGCGTGGCAGCTAAATACCTAAAATGTTAACAAGACAACAAGTGTTCGTGTCATTTACATGCAAGGAGCAAGAAAGCAGTAAAATATGAGATATGGCAAATATAATATAGTACAGTAGTATATAATACTCTACCTTGTTTCATTCTGTTTTGTTTTATATGAGCTGAGAAACAATCCTCTGAAACTCGATTTTACAAGGGATCCATTGCAGGTGAATCCCAATGTGTATTCTCCTGCAGGGAGACGGCTCCCCATATCAATAACCAAGAAATGTCGCTCCTTGTCCTCGCTCCAACCAGCAGGCGTGACTTCATTCATAGCACTATCTTTGATAGACACCGAGTTTACAGTGAGCTCGTCAATGTGCAGAATGATCTGGTCAGTAGATGACACACATGTCACTTTAATATCTACTTTTCCTGTAAATTGGAAGTCGCCATTTTCATCTTTCGCATACACGTTTGGTTGTAGTTCAATGTTGTAGTGGGATGGTATGATATTTGTTGGAAGTCTCAGTCCATCTGGTCTTGTAGGAGGGGTTGGGGGAGGTAGGATTTCTGGAGGTTTGGGCTTTGGGCAAAAACCTACAAAGTGCAAGTTGATTTTAGTTAATTCTGTCCATTTGAATGTAAAATGTGCATTTATACAATTACTCAACAAAGATACACTATAAACTTTTGATTCTATTTAATTAATTGAGAATATCGATGAAATGAGTTATTTTTGGACGTGGTAAACATGTAAATGCAGGTCAGGTGACATACCATTCTGTCCTCTATGCTCTGCCTTATCCATTTTATATGTTAAAATGTTATATCATGCTGGTATTAGAAAACTGGAAAATACTGACCGGGTCGTTAATTATTCCAAAATGAGTTCTTAACAGGATTCTGAACTGTGAAATGATCGTAGAAAAGTTTGAGATGTATGATACAACATGCGTCCCTTTTGTAAGAATCGCTTTTATTTATGTAAATCAACTAATTATAATTCAACTATTCAATTAGACAATGTGTTCTTTGATCGTAACTAGAGCAACATTTGACATGTGAAACTCTCACCAACACTGACCCTATTTGAACCATCTCTATACCAAATACATTTTTGAAAGTTTTAGTTAAGAATCAAGTCAACCAATGCTGCAGTGCAAGTGGTTTATATTATCTCATATGGCACTGTTTTGCCCATGATGATTCGAAGAATATAACACAGATTTATGGCAGCGTTGGCGGCATAGAGTTCGGGTTAATTTGAGTTATGCTTGAGGTCAACATCTCAATTGTATATAGTTACACTGTGTTGACTTTGCGGCATGTGGTTAAAACAATTAACAATATTAAACTAAACAATTCCCACATGATAAAGAGGCATATTTCTTAACTACCATTTATTTATTGTTTGCGTGTGGACGGACTAATAGAAAACATGTGAAAACCCAAAAATAATGATAACTTCAAAAATACAATGGTCAAATAACAGCAAACATATCTATTTATGTTTTGTTTGTCCTCGATAAGAGCCAAGGCTGTCAGGGAACATTCAATCTATCACATTTAGAAGGTTTTCTATTGTCTTTTATTAAACATGTTATGTGTGATATCGAGTGATTTTGAGTCTTAAACATTAACTCCTTTTTTTATACTTGACAATCACGTTTGTGCCCAGCTCATCAATCACGAAGGATACATTCAACGAATACATGACATGGATTACATGTGTAATACATGGCATGTAGTAATTCATGATATAGACTATATTTTACGTATAAATTTATAATATTGCAATAAGTAAGAATACGAACATATTAGTTTATATACACAACATTTATATTCCTACAAAATGAATAAAGTCCAGGAGTTCTATCAACGAGAATTATCTCTACGAACGGTATACATTACATATCACTTTAAAATGTTTGCAGGTAACGAACAAGTATTGAATTCTAGTTGATGACAATATTTAACTAAGGCGAATATTAATGAACATTAATAGCATCTTTCACGAATTTTTGACGAAAGGCTTCGTGACTAGTCATGTGACTTCTATAGACCATTGGATTTTGGAAAGCAACTATTAGACTGCAATCACTGATTGAATACGACCATTTTACGACCAATTATATGCAATTTTAACATCACGAAAACATATTAATATGAGGAAATAATATTTTGGGAAAAAACAGAATTTCAAATGAAATGCAATATTCTGCTCGGATTCATAAGAACGAGCAAATAATACTTTGAAAATGCTGAATAAGAACAGTAATTAGTGCGAATAATTCTATAGTTAGGAAAAGAATTTAACATTGGCAGTACATCCTGGGCAATATACTGAGACAATTGGAATTAAATGTATTTATGTACAAATATTAAATTTAGATCTCTAGATAATAAAGTATATTGTGCTGATTATATCTTGTTCCCTTGCAATACAAGTATGATATAATATGTTATAATATAATATAGTAAATATAATATCATAAAATATAATATGATGTAATAATTGCAATATATAATGTAATATATGCTTTTATTCTAACGATTTTACCAAGTGTATAATAATTAAATATTATTCGAAAAGGACAACAGCAACTTTAGCACGTTAATCTTTGGTTTGAAGTATCAATTTACATCAAATCAACAAAACAACAAAAACAAATGTTCAATTTACGAATATATGACTTAAATATCGTCTATTTGTCTATGCTCTAGTTGAATTTCTAAACCAATCAGAATGCAGCCTAGGCAATAATGAACGTTCTCTATTTCTCCATAGATGCACCCCCGGACTCTATTTAAATGTATTGTGACTTCAGTCACTTTACACCTATGAATGGCGAAAATAACAGCAAGTTTGGTTATTTTATGGACCCCCATTCCTAATTCTCTGAACACTGTTTTCATTTTTATGTTTATATTGAATGGCCTATCATTATTTATTCCTTAAATATAAACTTTTAACAAAAATATGTGTTTTCCCAAGACTTGTCGAAATGCTATTAAAAACTAAAACTTTCTCTAACATTTCTAATATCGTTTCACGATCGACCAAATATTTGTGTATTTTTTAGACATATAAACATTATGTAGATCTAAAGTATGAGCTATATTGTTCATGTATTGCAAATATAGCAGCTGCCGTCCAAGAAATATTCCACAAAAAATGTTGAAGGGCCAAATGAAAAATTTGTTGACCTGAATGAGAAGTTGACCCTGACTATGGTGTTTAAATAAATCACTGCATAATTCAATTACTTGGGTCTTAAAGGTAACATATATGCTACATGTGTGCTAGAGGAAGGCAGAGGATAACACGGGGGTCTTCAAAAATCAAATTGGAACATTGCACCAGGGTTTTCAGTATATCTGTCAATCATGGCGCGGATGGACTTTGTTTTGCATTCTCTGATGCTTTCATATGGGTCCAATCACCGTCATATGCGAGATGACGTTTAGACTCATGTGATCGTCCATTGAATACAATGCACGTGCATTAGCACTTGCAGAATAGTTGATAGATACGTGTGCCTGTTCAGTTTAAGTGTATGTGTGATAGAGTCCAAATATATTGTCAAGCCATGTTCTTTGAAAGATAAGACATTTCTTGAAATACAATTCAAAATGAATTACAATGTTGACAAATGTTACCGTTTATTGTTCTGTTTCGATTTGCGTCTTTTGTATTATTGCCCAGACTATCAATATGAACGATTTAATTTGTTAATATGAAACTAACTTTTTAAATTTTGCCATCTTTGTGTTTTCTAAATTTTCATTCTGATTTTATATCTAAAAAGTAGGTTGAACTTCAATGTAACTGTTACTGCATTAGCTATAGTGGATTCGTTTATGTTGATTAGTGGTTGTGAGGAAATTCCAGCAAACTAATTTACATAATTGCGATATCTAATCTTACATGTTAATTCAAATTGTTGAATTTCAAACTTCGGGAAAATCAAGGTGTATGTAGTATTTATTCCATTTACTTACAGGTATCTATTTCAGTTGACACATTCTGGCATATCCCGAGGAGTCTGTCCGTAGAAGGAGGCAACATGGTTGAGGCCAGGGGCGGCACTACTGTATTCCATTCACCGCAGTTACATTCGCACGCGAGCTTGCGACCAGGTGCCGCAAAATGTACAATAAGGCCAACGCATACGCAAACCGCTACAACGAGGAACGCAAGAATGAATCCAATGAGCCTACTGATGTAACAACCAGTTCCTTTAGTGCTTCCCATCGTGCCAACATTTAGAGAAGTACCACTGTTGGCCATGGATATATCAGAGAGACGCAGATTCTCCTTGTCCGAATCCATGCTATCACAATGAAGTGAAATTATGCTGGCAACTTATCTGAGATATTTGAGATGAGATGATCTGTCACGAATACAAGTACTTGTAAGAATTGTCTAAACAGAGTTCAAGTGAATACATAATTTTTTACTTCAAGATAGACACTTACACGCGTCTTTGTTAGAAACTATAACATATTATCTCTAATCATTGAACTGTACGTACTTTTTACGTATGTATGTTCACTAAACAGGCAATGCAAAGTCTCCAATGAATTATTCTGCAGACAAATGTCCAATTCTAAGATGCGAAGTGAAAATCAAATATATTGGATTACAGACTGCGCACGCATTCATATCAACACATCCAATAGAACAGGATAAACGAGGATACAATGGGTGTACAGTAAACACCTTTTCGAAACTAGAATTGATGGCAAATTTTTACTGAATTTTGAAAATCTTCATTCCAATGTAAACCACGGGGAACTGTTGTGTTTCGGAACAAAATCTATCAAGAAAATTTACTAAAAAATTATTTTATTAACTTATTTTGCACGCTTAGTGTTTAGTTTACTTGAACAGACAGCTTCAAAGTAAAGGACGATTCTCGGTTTGGAGAACAGTCTCCTGGGTTAATAATTTTTTTAATGAAAAATATAGAAATATTACCCAAATTAAACTATGAATATTCAAAAGAGGACATTTAAATCTACAAGATGTAAAATTAACAAATTGGTCTGAAGCAGGGATAACGTTCAATTTGACCGATTCAATAAAATACAAGTCTCGATTTGGGGAAAGAAGTTCATCAGTGTACTGCGCTAATATTTTTTTGCGAAAGATCTAGAAATATTACCCAAATTAAATTATGACTATTCAAAAGAGGACATTCAAATCTATATTATGTAAAAATATCAAATTTTTCCGAAGCAGGGATAATGCTCATTTAGATTGATGAACTTCGTTCTCCAAACCGAGAATCGTCCTTTTGGAAATCATTTTTACCTTGTGGTTTTTCTATGGGAGAGGTTTCTTGAAAAATTATTTTGACTTTAGAGACCTATAGCTTTTTTAAACCTGAAGAAACACATCGATTTTGTGAAGCTAAAATGAGCAAATTCAAATGTCTACCTAACTTGTATTTTTGGGAGAACTCAGATTGATGGATGACTTGCGGCAAACCTAACATTTCACATGGTTTTACATGGGAATGTCGATTTTCAAGAATTTGTCATGAATTTTTGACCAATTGTAAAAATTGAGGAAAAAATTTGAAAATTTGGAGGTATAGGAAATTTAAAGTCAAGATACATTTCCATTTGCATTATCATTTTTTCTTTGCAGGTTATGAAAAGCAACATTAAATAAACATAGAGTGGCTTTAACACGTTAGCCTATTGTGGCTTATGGATGGGAGTGTACCCCTATTCATCGGTTTTTAAATTCTATAAATCCCTGAATAGGCCATTTTAGGAGTAACGGATCAGCTCTGAATCAGCAATGAACTTTTTTTATTTTAATTGTGTTTTTTTTCATTTCCAAATGAAAGATACAAGTATACAAAGGACATAATAAAATACTAGCAACAGCAACAGGTTGTGTTCAAAGTTAAATGAAAACTCCAAGTTCGGATGGTCTCCATATTTATATTCCAGCAATCAACTCGTTCAGTTTGCCATATGTAGAACAACAGTCCTCCATCATCATAGCTTGCACTAATGCCGAGCTTCACCGTTTTCGGTTAGAACGCATAGTTCTTCTGCTGATTGATGGGGATTGGCTCAAAAAAGGAATGCTGTCGAACCCGAAGCACCCCCTCATTCAGACAACCATACTTATCATTACATTTTTTGAAACCAGAGACCACGCGTATTTCTAAACATTTCTGATCATGCCTGTGCGAAAAATATACTCTTAGTCTAAAAATCATACATGCAATTATATCAAATTTGATATCATTCCAAAATAAGGAACAATTTTTTGGTCACCCTGTATATACTGCTCATCTAGCACAAATCCCATGGAAATTCAACAAACTTGTGGCGATTTATTCAAACGGCTGCATTTTTACCATATGTTTTAGGCCGATATAAAGATGACAGCACAGTTGACTATATTTTTTGAGAATGCATGTTAGCAGCTGGACTGCCATCTTTTCATAAATATTCTTTTATCATTGACTGAAACCGAGTCAACATGATGCTTGTACAGACGCTGTGGGTGTTTAATAAGTTTTATGATTTCTTTAAGCATTGGTACATATAATATGTGAAGAAGGAGTCAACACTAACATATTTTATTGAGATGCATCAGATACACGAGGAACCCAATCGCCAGCAGTGGTGTTATAGTTGTGTGTTACTAGATGTGTCATGAAAATGAATCTGCATATTAATTGAAGTGTGCACGAGTGTGTGTGTGTGTGGGGGGGGGGTGCTGCCTCTGTCCGTGGGGTTCCGGGGAAGTTTTAGGGCCAAATCAAATAAACTTTAAAAATTAGAAAGAGGGCTATACATTTTCAGATAGCAAGTCTAACCTTTCGAAATGAGGTCCAAAATGAATTCATTCAACACTGCATATTAAAACATCCTGCAAAACTTATTGAACGAACTCGTACAGTGATCTAATAACATACATAGATAAAGCAAGATCTAGTTGTAGTTTTCGTGTAAGAATACTCAGTAGTAGGGATAATGGGCATTCTAACCCTTTACCTGCTAATAATAAGATATTTACCTCGGGGTAAACCAGACCTTCACAATATCAATGCCATGCAGGCTATCCTTATCTCAGTTCAAACATAAAAAACTAGGGTTATTTTTGTCACTTAACATATGTTGTGATGTTGAGTTGTAGAAGAGCCGTGTGTAAGAGATAGCGTGCGTATTACTCATTCACATTCTAAGGAGACAACTGTGTTATCTATGCGTCTCTTGTTGCATCCATCTATTTAAAGTGGATACCTATACTCTGTGACGAGAGGTATGAGTTACTTAAATAACTATTTATATAAGTATGTATACCTTGGAAAGTTCACTAAATTCAGTTTTATGGACACATTCATTAGTTGACACTGTCTATTAGAATCAGGGAGGTTCTGAATGAATGCATGTCTTGCTCATATTTGGCTGAGTTGCGTGTGTTTGTTAAACATGGTTAAAGGGGTCATATAATAATAGTTACATACGATGAGCTAATTACATTTTCTAGGTTGCAAAGCTCAGAATTTTCTACACTGGTTACTCATTGACAATTACCAGATATGTAACTTGTTTTGTTTCTTTGGCGCTTGTGTATTAATCTACTATCTTGATATCGTGAAATAAGTTAAATAAGTTAACGTCTATAGAGAAAAACTTTCGGCTTGTGACAATGATTAAATTCTAAAATAAAACTAATATCATGATAGATAGATTGTGCTTTATAATGTGTCGACAATACATCGATATTTTGCGAAATCAGTTTTGTGTAATAAGTACTTGAAGCATTACAATATTTTGCGCAAGAAATTTCGCAACATTTTTAATACAATTGTCTAATTAGCTAGAACATTTTAAACATAATTTACATTCAAATGCTATTAGAACTAGAAAATTAAAGCTCATTTCTCGAAGTATTATTACGCACGGCGATGCTAATGTATACTTAAAGAAGATAACCTTCCAAATGATGAGCTAAAAAACCATGATTTGTTTATTGACTCTGTAAACAAATCCTCTGCTATATCAATTGGGATGGCAAGTTGGCAACATGGACATTGAACAGTATTCAGGTATTCGCTACACTCTTCTCCTGAGATTAATAACTCCAGGAATGATAGTGATCGCTGATCTAGTGTTCCCAGTAACTATCCTTTTGGCGTAGTGATACCATCTCTGCTTTGCAAAGTCAATTTCACCAATATTGCTCCTTGGAAAAGGCAACTTTTAATGATTGGCGAACTCCATGGATATCGTTTGTTTACACATGTACAGACGTAAATTACGCGCGTTAATTATACGAAAACAAATGCACGCATTCCTTGTGTAGCTTCGCCTACTATCCATGATTTTCTTAATTTCGTACGCGAGCTAATGATGAATATAAACAAGGAAGAAATAGATATAAACATTCTGATCTACATCAGGCTTATTTGTCATGTATTATATAACACCTGTCTCGACAGCCGCAGTTTCAGTTTACAAATATGAGCCTAATATTGCTTGATACTGTAACTAAATTATGCATACCTGCCAACTTTTCGAAAAACTGCCAAAACACTAACAAACTCCATGGAGATTTAAACAAACTTAGACTTACATTCTCAGACCCCATATTTAGTATTTTACGCCCTTTCCTGGTCCCAGGGGGTTCACTCAAATTATTTTGGGTAGATATGTGCAGAATGGTCAATTTTGGCTTTGGGCATCAACCATGCATGGAAATTGTTCAAAGTGAGAGGAAAACATGGAAAAATTGTCAAAGAGAGCATCTTTTTAGGTCAAAAATCAGTTGTTTTCCACAAAAAATTGTATTAATTTTGTTCAATCAGTTGCCGATTTAGTCAATTTTATCGATATTTGGGAAATATAGTCCTAGCAAACACCAGAGGAATTCGACATTGACATATTTATGACGTTGAGCTGAATAAACCTAGGAAACAATGCATCTTTAGTGAAGAAAATCCTTTTAAATGTTTACTCTAAAGTTAGAAATATAAAGAAATATTCTAAATATAATATAACTTTGAAAAGTCCAATCTAGAATTTGTATTAAAAGGAAATTCAGATCAATTCACTGATTTTTAAAGGAAAATTTCCCAATTTAAAAATTCTTTTTTTTATCTCTCATCTTTACGTTCAGTGGGTTGGCAGGTATGAGTAATCACCCCCTCCACACAGTATGATTAATAAGTAGATCATCTTTTTAAATCCTCGTTTTTATGTGCATCAATTGTTTATTTTACCTTTAAGCCCTTATTTCACTATTGAATAGTAATTTACAAGTATTTCATATGAAAGAATCGGTTCACGTGCAAAAATGGGTAAAAACTGCATGTAACATGTAACCCTTACATGGGAGGTCCCAGAACAACTTTCGTTTTAAATAGCAATATTTGATAAGATGAACTGTTGAAAAAATTATTCGCTTCAATGTATTTTTAAGTGGAATTGTTCGAATTGTCCACAATTTTTGAAAATGGCCTGAATGTCCAAAGTTGGCTCAAATGTTTCACTAGAAAGATTTCATCTGGGAAAAAATGGTTTATTATGCTGGGACATCACCTAGATAATATTACGTTATCAGATATATTTGATAGATGTATCAGAGGGTGTAGAACGTGATCCAAGAGAACAGACCGATGCACAGACATTTCAATAGAAGACAAAGCAGACACGGAAAGCGCAACATGACGTTGTGAACAACAAATAGAAGACATTCATAATCAGATCATAGGTTTTGAAGGGTATGCCATCTGGTTATGTATTAGGCCCACTTTTCCATGATATAGTTGAGCATACCAAGACATAAGAAACGACGAAGTACATAAACGCTAGCAACTGCTACTAAGTACATTTCATTCCAATGTGTCAAAATATAAATTATTTATTGAGCTGAATATTTAGGATAATTAACACTGAAATATTTGTATATATGACGGATATGATACAATGCATTGGAATAGCCTTAACAATATTATGCTATTTCGCATCTATCTACATATATTATATGTAATATATGTACACAGACAGGATGGAGCTGATATGAATCTAATCATAAACGAATTCTGATATTCATGATATAAAAACAACATTAATTGAATGTTTTCATAAAGTGAAATGTAACGAACGAACCCCTTTGTTGTATCGTTGTTAAAATTCATTGACGAATCCACGCTTTGATGAAGAACAATAAGCGTATAAATAACATATTCATATTTGTAAAACCTTGCTAAAATAAAATGATTAAAGATTCCTTTTTAGCCAGTTCACATGGAAACCAGCAACTGAGGGATATTTAATGTCAATTGAGGTGGATTGGTTAGTAATTTAGGCCGAGAGCAATATGCAATGTAGAAGCGGGACAAATGCCAAATGAGCATGATATAAAGTATACCAGCACCGTAGGCCTATAACATAAATACATTAATAATCTACAAAAAGAGAAAAACAGGCGATCACCATCAAGGTCTATTTTTATTTAAAAATGAGTAATGGATCAAGTGGAATTTTAGTTTCTGTTTCTCAATGACAGTTTCGGCGTAGTTAATGCATTAGCAAGACATTGACAACAGCAAAACAAAACAACAGACAAACAAACAAAGGAACAAACAAACAAAGAGACAAATAACAAGCAAATGCATTCAGATGTCATATAAATCAACAACGTTGTATACAAGGGAAAGAGCGTATATTGAAGACATACTATGCTTTTATGTGACATCTGTTGGGGCCGAGAGACACACTTCAAAAAAAGATTGAATGAAATTAACAAACAGATGTCATGAATCTGTAAAAACTGTATTGCACTCACGTGGTGTGTTTTATATCAATTTTAGTATCGGTTGCTATAGCAACAGGGTACAGCATGGACCAAAGACACATGGGATTCTGCATCCGAGAATCGATTATCAAATAAACTGCCAACTCGAATATTGTCACAAAACACGTTATTTAATATACTGTAGTGGAAGGTCTGTGTAAATACAGCGCATCGTGTAATGGAAGTACAATCAATATTCGACCAGAGCGAATATTCTAAGAATCTCTAATAATTAGATTGATTTCTCCTTGAATGAAACAAAGCAATTTAAAGGAATTAACCAAGTTATTAATAACGATATAGAGCCGAGGAAAAAAGACCGGAATGTAGGCTCATAACCATTGGATTACAATGAGTCTATATCCATTGGCTCTTTGTACAGTTTGTTAGTGATATGACAAGGAAATACAAAAATATTTTAACGCAGCACATGAACTGTACGCACGAATATAAAAGAGACGATACAACGGAGTATGGGATTTTCTTGCTTCACCCAAAAAACGAAACAAATATTCCGCAATTGGAAAAACAACTGCTACTTCCTTGTCGATGCATTTAATCTAAATCACAAGTGGACAATATAATTGGATTAGAGAAGTATATTATAGAATTATCTCACCATCTTACACAATTCGGCTTCCTTATTCCCCACACTGGGACCAAGCGGCCGTGGGGAGGTAGGCAAACTGATGTATTGCCAATATTATCAACATTTACAGTATTCCCTAGTCTAAGTCTTTTTAGAAAATAAATCATCTGGTGATTAAGAAGCGAGTTTTGGTTCAAACAGTCTCATTGAGAATTGGTGAAGAGATATACGGTTACACTGGGAGATTTCTAGATGGTAAACGTTACCTCTCAGCGCGAAGATAACAATGCTAATATGCAACATAAACCGAAACAAAAAAGGGCGAAATTATTAAAAGTTAAAACAGATCCAGACTGGTTAAGCGCGTCTCCTTTGTTGCGTCGACAAACGAGAACAATTGCCTCGGGTGGCACTAAGGAGTTCGTCTGGTGGGAGACGGACCCTCAGCATAAACAATGGGACTCAATCGCCTTTGGAGGAAAACGCGAATTTAAATGGTGGGAATCCGACACCGAGGATGACGCTGAAAACGAAACAACTTCAAAGCGAAAGTCCAGATCCGAGGGTGACGCATTAACTCCCACCGCCCCTCCGGATATAGAGCGAGGTGACCCGAAAGTAGAATGCAATGACGTCATCATGAGTTTAGTCACGGAGGAGCAGCTTCAGATTAAGGCGGAATCACGTGATCCAAGTCCGGATGTTTCATGTATGAACCTTTTCAAATGGAAATCCCGGAAAAGTAAATCGAAAGAAAAGAAAAAATCAAAAGTTAAAAACCAGGTATTGACTAATGGAAACCCCAAAGCCGGAGTTCAGGGGACTATACCAAATATAAATGACGTTGCACATTCCATTGCTAATGGCCATAATGTAAATGACCAAGTATCAAACGATCTTAACGATGAAATAAAAGTTGAGACAGAAATACCACTGGGAAGTGCCATTTCAAAGCCGGAAAATAACTCCATGGAATCCTCGGAGACAAAGGATTTAGAAATTGATAATTTGACAAACAAAAATCCTTCAGAGTCTGGTGACAAGCCACCAGACTCCAAAGTAGCCCAAAATGAACTAAACGAAAATCGAGCAAAGAGAAATCGTCCTCCATTACAAAAACAGTTGAGTATAGGCAAGGGTGGTAAAGGTGTATTACCGTGGTGGGACGTATCATTGGATGTACATGATAAGCCGGGCGATTCTTCGCCAATAGCAACTGCACAGTCGGAGCATTGGCAAAAATATGGACCGACACTTGGAAAAACGTCCACAGGATTATTAGCAGCTGGTGCCGCTGTTGGCTGTAAGACGGGCAAGGTTCGAGACAAAGTGGGCAAGCCCCATAAAGAACTATGTCGATACGATCGAGATTATTACTTCAATGATTTTGGCGGTACTTTTGGAGAACGGCCAAATGCCGAATACGGTGGAGAATCTTATAAAAAGGCTAATAGGCGATGATAATACACATGGAGTGAGGAAAATTGCGTGCTAACATTATGCGACAATGACAGGAAAATGATAAATTATTGAATACATGCCCGTTTTAGCTAGGTTCTCTAAGTATACTAAAGTGATACCCCGGGGCGACGCTTAATTATCAATAATGGATTATCATTAAAGCGATTTCTCGTTGGCAGACTGTCAGCTTTCACGACCATGCAACCTGTTGAACTCGAATACTTTGCCATTTAAATTGATCTCAAAACGTTTGTTGCCGTTTGCTGATCATTCTCACACACTTTGGATGGAATTAATTAGTAAAGTGAATGATATTCAAGTGCAATAAACATTGGTGCCCTTTCCACGATTTTAAAGTTACGCGTACGTGACGGCTCTGTACTATAGGTGTAATCAAATCAAGCAAATCAGCGAATAAGAAAATCATCTCTGTTATCGTTTTAGAGAAGAAATGTATGGACGATATGTCACAAAAATACGTAAATGATGTAAAGATGGCGTTATTCAATAACTTCCCGATAGACCCGTAGACACATTTCTAATCTTCTTTATTTTTTTATTAGGGTACATATGCTATTAAATATGTACTTTACATCATTAAATGGGAAAAATACCTGATTTGCCCGACACGATCAATGGTATGCTTTGATAGATGCAAACATACTTCATCTATGGGACATATTAGGCACCACATGTCTTTTTTCATTTACCCAATGCGACTTGAAAACCTATTAAATAAAATGTAATGGACTGTATATTACGAATCATTGTATAAGATGTACGTTGGCTGCTCCGTACGTTCAAAGTTTGGGTCTATTCATATCATACACGTGATATTTCATGATAACATCCATTTAAATGTAATTTATAAAAAGAACCAGTTGTGGTGGTACGCTAAATTATGCAAGTTTAAGAGACACCAGAAGGTCTATATACACATATAAACAGTGTACTGTGTAGACAATTTAATAACAGCCTTTGCATGAAATGTACGTTTGTGAACTTTTCATTTTCTCATATACAATGTAGTTTGGCTTTTTGTAGCGCTGTAAACCTAGAAAATTTTGCAAGTGATTTTTTCTCGAAATTAGTCGAAATCACAAAAATGCATATTTTTACTAGGATTACAGTCAGCCATTGAAGTTGATCGTATATACAGTATTTTTATATGTCACAGGTTTAAATAAATCTTGTTTTTGGTGTTTTTATGTTGCCATTGTACATTTTCATAAAATACAAATGGCCAGTAAGTAGCTAGTGCCTCTTACAATTATAAATATACTTGGTTGTATGAGATGAAATCCAATGCTTTATTCAATGGACTCTTTATAGGATTTCAATTTTCTTTCAACAATAAACCATTGCATATTTGGTGTTACACTTGTATTGTGAAATATTTCTATTTATATTTTAAGACAATAAACTTTCTGGCAATCTAATTGACTCATGCGACGGAGGTAAAGCTCAGTAAATTTTGCTACGGCAATCGTACGGTCTATTATGTTAACGGCCAATAGCAATTCTACGGCTGCAGTTAAAATTCTATAATAGATACTTCAACAGTCGCATTTGCTACGGTAGCTGTAAGGCGTTTTAAATGACACACGGTCATCGTAGGGTGTCCTAGCGACGGGCCGGCGTAGCTTGTTTGACAAATACTAAGGCAGATGCAAGGCGCCCGCAAAAGGGCTCCTACGGCGATCATACGGTCACTTCAAGTGTAATTGCGGTTCACAAAGGTACGAAGCTTTATAAGGGACATGAATATTTTTTCAGAATTAAGAGTATTCGTTTTTTTAAATTAATTTTTTTGATTTTTGAATTAGATTTTTTATTCTATTTTCACCTCGGTGGAAATTAATTTCCACCGCGGTCGAAATTAGGCGTGTTATGACCTAATTTCCAGACGAAACAGACTGCCTTGACAAAAGAATGTCTGAACACCGAGACAAATTCGTGTTGTCCTATTTTAAGGTGTTCTTATATTTTCTCGGTGTTCAGACATTGTTTTGTCTTCCACCGAGGTGAAAATTAATTTCCACCGCGGTGGAAATTAGGCGTGTCATGACCTTATTTCCAGACGAAACAGACGGCCATGACAAAACAATTCTTGTATGTAAAAAAACAACAAAAAACGAATATCATAAAAACAATAAACTTGTGTGTCAAAAAATTCAAAAAAAATCAAAAAATGAAGCTCCTGCCAAGTGGATCCTGTATCATTAGGGTATGGTATGCGAACGCCGCTCCTGCCAAGTGGATCCTGTATCATTAGGGTCTCGTACGCGATCGCCGCTCCTGCCAAGTGTACCTTGTATCATTAAGGTCTGGTACGCGAACGCCGCTCCTGCCAAGTGGATCCTGTATCCTTAGGGTCTGCTACGTGTCCTTTGTCCTCAGCGGGTAGGTCAGGGTTATAGGTAATCATTTAAAACTCAATCTGGTTTAATAGGGTTAGGGCCCGATGTAAAAGAGTATAGGAGGTCCTATTAATTTATGGTCCTACTCTCCATTGATTTATATGGTAACCTCTTTGTGCTCTTTCCCTTATCATCTTATAAACAATCAGGGCCGGTAAGGGCCTTTAAAAGGGAAACCATAATCCCTGGGGTACCACAATTTCTTCCACACGGGTTACGGTTATAGTTGGTTAGGGTTAAGGTTAGGGGTAAATTCTTTTTTTGACATACCTTTTGATTTTTCTTATACACATGTTCATAGTCCAAGGGTTAGCGTTATAAGGTTAGGCTTAAATTCATTTTTTTGATTTTTTGACACACGAGTTTTGTGTTTATGGAATTCATTTTTTGATTTTTTGTTTTTTTCGTCACACATATTCATGGTCTTTTTGGGATATTTTGACAGTTTCATTATCTTGATGGAATTCTTTTTTTTTATTGATTTGATATTGCCCAAGTTCTGGATATACCTCATAAACCCATAGGGTATCTGCGAGTACAACCTGCCTGATTTTCCACTGGATTTTCTACGGTTGCCGTAGAAATTTACCGATTTCACGTAAATACGGTCGACTTACGGTTACCTTAGAGCAAATGTACAACAGTGGTTTTATGTCCTGCATGCATAATAACACGGAACTGCATCGTGGGTGAAAAGGTTAGGTCCACATCATATGGCCCTCCATTGCAGAGTTAGTGTATGATATATTAATACATTTAAGTGTCATTATTTATGAAACAGTGCACGTGTAGCTCAGCTTATATTTTTATACACACTGTTTATACTCAATAATAATTGTATACTGTTGTGTTAAACATATATAATGTGCTCTAAAATATAAGATACATAAAATTACAGAGTAATGTAATTATTAATTATTATGAAACTACTGAATTATGTTAGTCAATATTTTTAGTCGAAATTTAAACCGCTATACATATCACGGTGGGGAATCAAACGATGCCCCCCCCCTCGAATTTTCCAAAAAGTGAGCCCCTTTGGCACATCCTGGCAATGGAGGCTTTAACTGGACTGCATCAAATGTGATTGTGCAGTCTGGAACTTATATTTTCTCCTCATAAACACATTCTATTCCACCATTCTCACAACTCATACTTGGAGTTTCAATCAAGCTATAGATAAACTCGTTGAAAATCTTTTCAAATGTAGGAAATAAGACCAAAATTCACGATTCAAATGTTAAAATGAACAAATAGGAGGCTGTTTGAATTCAAATTTTGTATCACTAGTCTACACGGCATGCCCATTTATGGGACAGAATATCGATGTTGCAATCTGGAAGCCAATCCTCCTTGGTAGAGTGCAGAAGAAGTGAGTAGCTCCCATAATTCTTTCATATTCTATCGTATTCGGGGATTCCCCATTACATTATCTCCCGCATCATCTCCAATCAAATTACAGGATGTGATCACGTGAACAATCATAAGCACGTGCTCTCTCAGTGCTGCGCATGCGCAAAGTTAAATTTGAAATGGCGTTAACATCAGTTCAACATCATCATTTCAAACCTACGGTAATACAAAGTCATACTTGTAGATAATACTCATAAAACTACAGTGAACATTTGGAGATCCATTTCAACGGCTAATTGAGGCCTGTTATAAAATTTGTTTTCAACGTGCCAATATGATAGGTAAATTCTTTGGGAAATCTCCCCCCCCCCTGGTAGAGTGTTAACCCCTATTCGTAATAAAGACAATGCAAAGCCCCGGATGTCGAGTCGTTTTGTTTGGTACACATACTAAGCTCCGGGAATTAAATAAGGCCTACCCTGCGTGCAGAGTCTAGTTAAACTACAGAGCTCTCTTTTAAGAAGTGAAGTCAAACGAATGCAAAGGGTAAATAAGGCCTTGCATGGGAGTTCGAGCCAACTGATCAAAAACAAGTAGCACAATGTCGTCACATTAGTATTTATAGTCATCTAATTTTGTATACAGGTGTTCACCTGGGGTGTTCACGATTTGAATAAATGAGATTTCTTTCACAGCATTGTTAGGATGCCAGCCAGGGAATATATATAAATCATGAAAATCATTAATACTAGACTACCTTGACTCAGACATCGTTTGTCAATTTGCACGTGTGCAATACTTAAAATAGATTAGCTTTAAACTTGATCAGACAATCTGGACTATGAAAACATTATTTTATCTTTTGGATATACACGCGATATTTATTATAAGTTTAATGTTTTTGTATTAGAATGTCAATCATCTTAAAATATCACTTTAAGTAAATAGACGAATGCATTTAATAACATCGTCCCTTTGTTATGGGAGCAAAGTAGAGAGATGTTGGATGAAATCTCTTCACAAAGCATGTTAATGTTTACTTTTAACATGGTCGACCGAAATTCTTTTAATGTGCAGTCGCAAGTATATACTTCTCATCTAGAATGAAAATAATGACGATCAAAATGTTTATGATTGGTAATTTTTTGTCAACCCCATTTAGTATAGTAGGAACAAGGGGTTCCCATGCACCCATAAGGTGTGAATAAGTTACATACATTTTTGTAATCCCTAGGGTGTCTATTTAATGAATTAATTTGTTAACATTGCCAACTAATGTCCCATAGTACTTTTATGGCGGCATTCAGTTACCATGGTTACGCATCTTTAGACATCTTACCTTGGTATTTTAAAACATTTGTAGCTCTGTCATTATTTGGTCTATAGAAATGATATTGGTACCAAATTGAACCTCGTTAAATTTCCAATAAATTTATGATATTCAATTATGCAAATTATCTAATTTGCATAAATTATGACGTCATCAATCTATTTTTGGTTCAGAATTTCCAACTATA